CAAGCAACTGAATGACAATCATGAAGAATTATTAAATAGTAAAAATACAGCAAGCGAGCGATTAAATGTATTAGAACAAGAACTAGCAACATTACAAAGGGCAAATAAAGGACAAGGTATTGAAAATTCTGTCTTATTGGATGAATTAACGAAGAAAGAAGTTACTAGACAAGAGGCTCTACGTGAAAACGATAGCAGCAAAAAGAAGTATTTAGCTGCTATTAATGAAATGAAAGAATTGAAAACCAGTATTCAAGAACTAGAGAATCAGTTATCCCATACACGTCAAGAACATGAAGACTATGTTCGAGTAAATGATAGCCTAAGATCAGAAGTAGCCAACTTAGAAGATGCAGCGGAAGAATACAAGAAAACGGTCAAATCACTAGAAAGTAAAGCAACATCACTATCGGAAGAACTGACCCACAAAGATATTACAATCCAAGAGAGTACCAAGCAGATACACACCTTGCAAAACAAATTAAATAAATCAACAGAAAAAATAAGTGAATTACATGCCAAAATTGAAACCGTTAATCAAGATTATATACAATTGAAGCGCGAACATAATCATATGGGTATCCAATTTAATAACGTAAAATCGGATAATGCTGATCTCGAGGCAACGCAAGAAGAATTAAAAAGGAAAAATAATGAATTAGATATGAAAATAGCCTTATTAACGGATGATATCGCCTCTAAACAACTGGCTAATACCGAATTGCATAAACAAATCCAATTATTAAAGGATAAGGTGATTTGTACATCACAAGATATCTCGGAATTATTAAGTAAAAATCAAGATATGCAGCGTGAAATAACACAATTAAAGCGTGCATTGCAAGATGAGGAAAAGCGTTCGTCAAATTCTCAATCCGAAGTAGCTGATTTACAAACACTAATTGATAGTTTAAAATCGGCTAAAACTGAACTAGAGAATCGTCATGTCGAAATGATGAATGAATTAAATCAACGCCAATCCAGTGATCAGGATAGTGAACGTCAAGCCGATTACTGGAAAAAAAGACATGATAACATTTATGGTGATTACAAGGAACTCCAGCGTAAAAATCAAGAATTGACGCATGACATGATGAATCTACGCAAAACACATCAGGAATTGGATCGCTTAAAAACCCGACAGCAAGCAGATCTAACTGATTTACTTGCTCAGTTAGAAACTGTTAAAAAGGAAAGTAAAGAATGGCAACGTCAAAATGCTGCAGCTCAAGATGATTTAAGTGTTAAGGAAGCAATAGTTGAAGATCAACAGCAGCAACTTGATAATTATAAAACAAAAAATCAAGAAATCCAACGAGAATTAATGAATACTCAGGCACAATATCAAGATGTATTAAGACAATCAAAGCATTTAAAGCATTCCTTGGATGAACTAGAGAAGAAAAAAGGTAACCTTGACGAAGAAAATGAAGCACTGGAGTCATTGAATAACGAATTACGCAAAGCAGCCGTTGAACAAGAAGCTGAGTTAAAGTTATTGCGTGATGAATGCAATAATAATCAACAAGGGGCATTAAGTGATTCAACGCAAATAGAAAGCTTACGTAAGCGTTATAACGATGTTTGTAATCAATTAGCTGAATTAGAGGGGAGATATAATGGCTTAACCCGTGAGGCTGCAGTCAGCAAGAAAACGATACAAGAATTGGAAAGGAACAATGCTAATCTAATATCTGATGTGGAATCAAATGAAAATAATTACCATGAATTGAATAAGAGTATGAAAGAATTGGAAGCGAAAAATGCTGCCTACAGCGATGATATTGATCATCAAGCTATTACTATACAAGATTTAAATGATCAATTATCAAAACTAAAACTAAAGAATAATCAATTAACAACTGAATTAGCTGACAGTCAGTCCCGTATACAGCAGCAGGTGATTGATTATTCACGTTGTAAAAATGGATTACAAGAGCTGGAACTTAACATGAAAAATTTAAAAGAAAATCATGATGAATTACAGGATGAAAATAAGGGATTAAAAAATCAATTGATTGACCTGCAAGCACAATACTATCAATGTAATGAAGATATTAATAAAAAAGATTTCACGATTATTGAATTAACAACCGCAAGTGATAACTGGAAGAAAAAATTTCAACATGTCAGCAATGAATTAGATGATGCAAAAACCAAATTAAATCATTCTCATGATCATATTGCAAGCCTTAAAGCTAATATCAAGGAGCTAGAAGGTAAAAAGACAATGTTAGAAGCTGAAATGGCTAATTTAGAAATTCGCACGCAAGAATTGGAACGCAGTACTCAAGACTTAGCGATGAAGAAAGAAATGCTAGAGGATGAATTACAAAGTAAAATTCATAGTCACTTTGAAACTAGTCAACATATTGATACATTACGACAAAAACATAGCCAATTAGCTGATGAATTATCTAACTTGCAATTGACTAATCATCAAATATTGAAAGAAAATCAGCATCTCAAACGTACTAATCAAGACTTTGAGAATGATATTAATCGCCGGCAGCAAGAGCTGCACGAGTTAGAGGAAAAGAATAATAAATTAGTAGCTAAAATTAATACGCTGGAAAGTGAAATTATAACGTTAAATGAAACTGTTAATAAAAGTCAGTTAGCACATAACGAAGTAGACCGTTACAATCAAACACTGAAAGATAAACATCATGAAGCAGCTGCTCAAGTAACTGATTTGCAATTAAAAAATGATGAATTGAAACGTGAAATCGGCTTATTGAAAGCAAGTCAAGGAAACATTGAGCATCAATTAGACCAGCAGCGTAGTAAAGAAGTCGATTATCATAGTCATGTGCAAGAACTAGAAAGAAAAATTAAGGACGTGGAAACAAATCAAACTTTCTTACAGCAAGACTTGGTTAATAAAGAATCAGCATTGCAGGATGCAATCCATGAAAGCGATCAATTGTCTAAAAAAATTAAATCAACATCAACCAATTTGAAAGAAGCTGAGTTTAGGGTCGAAAAACTAACTGAAGAATGTAATTCAATGGGCAAAACATTACAGCAACTCGAAAAGTCTAATCATAATTTAAAAATGGACAACTCATCGTTGCAGTTATCATTGGAAGAATTGAAATTGGCAAATATCGAATTGGATGTTAAAAACTCAAGATTAGTCAGTCAATCTAATGATAATCAATCGAATAACGATAAGGTCATGCAGCGCGTGGATGAATTAAGTCAAAAGAATATTGACTTAGAAAAGAAAAATGCTGAACTACGTCGACAGTTATTAGAATTACAAAATCAGGTTACTGACTTAAACAAAACGAATGAAGATCATACTGATTTAGAAAAGAAAAATGCTGAATTACATCGGCAGTTGTTAGAATTACAAAATCAGCTTGATGATTTAAATAAAGCCAATGGAGAAAACATTGACTTAGGGAAGAAAAATGCTGAATTACGTCGACAGTTGTTAGAAATACAAAATCAGCTTGATGATTTAAATAAAACCGATGAAAAAAATATTGACTTAGAAAAGAAAAATACTGAATTACATCAACAGTTGTTAGAATTGCAAAATCAGCTTGATGATTTAAGTAAAACCAGTAAAGATAATATTAACTTAGAAAAGAAAAACGCTGAATTCAGCCAGCAATTGTTAGCGTTACAAAACCAGGTTGGTGATTTAAATAAAATCATTAAAGAACAGCAAGCACAATTGACGATGCTACAAGCAATTAAGGATGAAAACAATGATCTAGTAAATAAGCAACGGAATCTGCTGGACGAAATTGAAATATTACAAAATAAAAATGATCAGTTATCCGAGGAAATTGATAATGTAACGAAACAGCAACAAATGCAAGCTGTTCAAGTTAATGAGCAAATTAATCCCGCAGTTTCTGCTATGGTTATGGCTGTTAATGATATCGAGCCAGCAATTGATCAGGTGCAAACAGCTACGGTTGAAGGAGAATTTGATAACGCTTTCGGAGACGAAATTATAACTAACAAGACAACGTTGTCTACTGCTAGACGGGTAACCTAATAAATTGCAAACGCTATTTTATGCAACATTTGTTCAAGGTTATGTAAGTGCTGTCGTAATAACTAATTGCTGTTTATTGAATTACCTTCTTAGGAATTAATAAACGATCGAAAGGGTTTACATACGCTAATTAAAGAAATGGATAAGCTATCGAAAGAAATAAAAGACATAGAATTTATAAGAAAAGAAATGGAGCAAGAATCAAATTTTGATCAGCTGTAAGACTAATTCTGCTTGAGATGATTGATTATATGTTATATTTATGAATAGATTACTGATAATGTTTTGTTCAATTTTTCGTATGTAGAAAATCGCGAACTATCGATGAGAAGTTAGATATTTCTTTGAACTGCAGTAAAGAAATTAGAAGTAAATTATTATCACAGCTAGAAATTGCGTGAGTTGAAGAATAATGTATTTTTTTAATTTAAATAATAAGTATAAGATATTTTTCCTTAAATTGTAATTTCGTACTTTTTCATGCTCAAAATCTTTCAGCCTTGAACGAGCACAAGATAGAAATGTGATGTTAGCCGAAGTAAGACTATCTACGACTATAATTTTTAACTATCCTCTTATATTGGGCTATGCACACCCTTCGTAGTCACTTAATTAACTGATAATATTGTAGCTTTCATTATAAAAACTAACTGACAATTGTCTGTTCGGAATCTGTAATACAGTACATTGTGTCTCATTCGTTTCAAATCACGTATTCTTAGGAAAAAAACTCATGGAAGGATGATATTGACGCCAATGAAATAACACCTGTACATGATAATATGGCTATAACAGGATCTGTTTTAAATAGGTAGTGTAACATGTGATGGTATATTTACGGATTTCTAGCTAAATATTGCTTCGACCAACTTTAAAATAAATGCCATCGATGAATTTTACATATACTGTAGATTTTTACAAATCTTCGCAGTTTACTATTTCTAGTTTATCTCTATTCCAACTGTCATCATAACACTGCAATATGAATTTAAAAATTCTGTTGTTTATACGCGCCTGTAGCTCACAAATGTCAGAAGAAATTGCAGACGTTGAATTTAAAGCAAGAATAGCTGCATTAAAATTTATGGTAACAAAATATCATTTAAAGAATTCTAATTTTTATAATAGATTTTATTAGTAAAATATTATATGGTAGCACGAATTACATACTATTCCTTAATAGTATTCATCTCTAATTACCTAATAGATTCAAAAATTGGAAAGCGAGCACAACGTATTAAATGGAAAGCACCAAACGTTACATGAACAAAACGATCGCTTAAAAGCCAGTTTTGATGAATTACGTCAGCAATTTGAGATCGTTAAGAATGAGAAACAGCAGTTACAACACTCTTATGATTCAATTCAGCTGAAAGAAAGGCAGCTTGCTGATGACGTTATTCGAATAAAGCAAGAAAAGGAGAATGTGCAAACTGATTATCGCGAGTTATACGCTGAAAATAATCATTTAAAGGACATCTACCGTCAACTGAACGAAAATTATAAACAACTCAAGGCAAATTATGAAAGCTTACAAGTTAGTTATAATGATCTAAAGCGTCACAACGAAAGATTAAAAGAAAGCAGCCACGAATTAGAAGAGCGGTATGACCGCGCTAAATTGAACTTGGAATTTGCCAAAAAGCAAATGCAAACCAACTATATTAACGAGCAATCGAAAGTTGACGCTCATACCATAAGGCAATTGGAAGATGAATATAATGCTTTAAATTCTAGTTATGGTAAACTTAAAAAGGATTTCGACAATTTAGACATTACAGCAGCCAAGGTTGCACAGCGATGCGAGGTCAGCTGAAATACAGCATTCATTATTAGTTTAGATTCAGTCTTTATAAAGGTAACTATATAAATATATTTTAATTATCTTTATTGAAGTTTAAAATTTGTCATTTAGATGTTGGAACAGCTACGTTTAACCGCTTATGAAGAGATTAAACACCTAAAGCAACATGAAAAAGTTTTAATGGAGAGAAATCATAAATTAATGCAAAGAACTTTAGATAGAAAAGAACTTTACATGGAAGAACATCATACCTACAAGTAAGTTCTTTCCCTTAAATTGTAGTTTAGCCGATAATATTATAACTGTAACGTCATCATTGCCATAAATATCATAATCTAAGCAGTTTTTTATGCTGTGGCAGGCACTATGACATGACAAATGCGTATATCGTCTCAATGCTGTACTGATAGAAGTTACAGTAGCAATACATGCGGCCTTTTATAGTGAAGGCAGTACGGTATTTGTAGTGGTCAGTATCTGAACTTGATAGCCAAGATAACAATAACTTCTTAATAAGTTGAGTAGAAAGTTTACAAAATACCAAGGAATACGCCTTCTGATGCCGTATAAAATATACAGTACTTGTAGTTTCCTATTCACCACCAACGATTGGGTTGTTCTATAATTTTAATTTATGTAATTACATGCCAGTATACTTCAATAACATTTTAGTTTGCATAGTTGTTGTACTTGCTAAAAATTATCTTAACATAATCATCTGAATATATTCATTAATAGAGAAGCAATCGACAAACTCAATCGTCATAAAGAAGATTTGGAGCAAAAATTACAACAATTTCAGTTGGATAAAAAGTAAAAAAATATGAAGGATATTTTAAAATTGACGTATTTCATTCGGCTTTGCCTGACTTATAATCTTAATTTACTTGTTCTTTATCAATTTAGTAAAAAATGGGATCGAAAAATTAGGACATTATTGAAAAGCATTGTAAAAGGACGTAAAAACAACGATAGTGATGGAAGTCAGATGACAGATGGACCTAGAAGGCCTAGACGTGAGTATAAGGCTTCTGAATTTGCCACTGATGTAGAATCTGATGGAGGTACTGATGAATCTTCGCCAAGACCACATCGTCATGGGCGTAACGGTTCAAGATCGTTGCCTAATACACCACCAAGCACGCCAAAGAGCGGTAGTCGCAATAATAGTCCAACACCAAGAAGAAGATCACGATCGATTAATCGTTACCAAAATGAAGATCAGGTAACACCTGTTAAACGCTCGAAATCTCCCTCAAGTGCATTTAAGCCATACCGAAATGAAAAGAAATCTGAAATGTCACCTTATCGGCAGAAATCATCGGATGCACATCGCCCATCGACACAAAATACACCCCACGGCAGATCAGTTACTCCACGGACTAGACCTCAACCTTATCAAGAGCGAGTGGTTAGTGATAGAGATTATGATAGCGATCGACGTTACCCAAATCAGAGTAACCTGATGGTTAGAAACGGTGATTATCGTATTGGAGAAAGACCGGTTAGCCCAAATAGAGAGAAATCGCGACGTCTCTCACCGACACGATTGCAACTTGAAATCGCTACAGCAGAAAGTAGCGGTTCTCTTAATAGCTCTCCTAGTCAAGAAATTAACTTATCCAACCCTCAAAGCAAATCGCCGAATAACAGCGCAGGTTTACAGCGCGTACCCACATTTGATAACTTACAACTGGGAGTACTACCAGTCAATCAGACGCCTGGCGTAACGGAATCAAATGATTTATCTGACAGTACTTATCCTAATAAAGATATCAATGATGAAACTACATTAAAACCATTTAATTACCGAGATTACAATCGATCTGATTCTGCATCTGATATAAATAGTATGCCTAAAGAAGAAGAATTGAAATTAGAAAAATATTTATTAGAAAGTGATACTTCAGTAAGCAATGTATTGATTGAATTTATTTTGTGTTGTAATGAAATGATTCTATTTTCTATCACATGAATAGTATTGATTATTTCATTTTTTAATTTTAATATATAATAACGTTCCGCTAACAATTTTCCATCCATTTTCAGCAAAGCCAGTATAGAGAAAAGAGCCCTAGACGTAGCAGGATTATTCACAGACCACAACCTGCAGTTATTCATAATGGTTCTCTCGTCGCTCATCCGTCTTCGAACGCGTCATCTCCTAGTTATGGTCCGTCACAAAAGGGTAGGCTAAAGCCAGTTATGCGAGACAATACGGTACGAAGACCAAGTGTAGAAGGAATGCAAGCCGCAAGTAATACCCCGACTCCAAACAATCATCCAAATAGGCAAATTGGAAGTCAAGCGAAGGTACCTTCGGTTAGTTCTCAATCTATCCACCAACCTAATTATAATGTAGGAAGTTCGTATGAATCAGCAACTTTGCCAAGAAATTTTAAAGCGGCACCAATTGCATCTTATGGACCCATGAAACCAAATACAAACAATCGTTCTGATGATACTTACGAGTCTTCGACTCTACCTCGAAATTTTTCGTTCGAGAAGCACCCCCCTGGTGATTATTCTTCTAATAACTATTACCCACCATCTCAGCAAGCGCTTAATTCGCCACGTAACGTTAACTATAGCATAAATAAATCGACTGGATATGACCGATCGCCACATGTAAGTAATAATTCCGTACTTACCATCAATACATGTAAACTTGTAATTATAACATGAGAATATAGCAACGTATTACAGTTGTCGTTTTTTTACCGTATTACATAAAAGTTATATTTTATGGGTTGCTTATTATTCTTGTATACTTTTTAAATTAGTCGACTGCCACCAGTGAGGCATCGCGAAGAGGATCTAAACACCCATCGAAGGATACAACAAGTGTTAATTCACCCAGAGGGAATTACAATGAGGGAACGCCTTCGAGAAGTCCAAGAAATTATTCTAATCAGGCCCCACTTGCAAGGCCCGATGATACTAAGCGCGTTAGTATTCAAGTAAAGAGAAGTGTAAAACGCTAGTTGATTTCATTTGTTTATAAAGAATATAGTTGCTGATATTAAAGAAAGTTGTGATCATTATTTTACATTATATGAGTATTTTAACAATACGATCAAATCCGTAGTCTCTGGATGCCTTTATTTAGCAATATATTTCAATTCGATTTTTACTATATTAGATAATATAATGTATACAATTTCACTGAGAAATAATTTCATCGTCATTTCTATTACAGCAAATTTTTTTATAAATATGGTTGATTGATTTTTTGACGATCTTCTACCAGATATATATAAGTTACTATATTTTATAGCTTATATTAACATAAGAGTATCTTATTAGAATAAAAATATTAACTGTGTATAATTATTTACTGTTAATATTCGGTACTTCCAGCGATGAAAAGAACTAATAATTAATGATTCTGTATTTCTCATTCATGCATTTGTTAATAAATAATGTAGCACGAAAGTATATCAATATTTAAGAAATTATTGATATTTACGATTATAACTACACTATACATGAGTTAACTATACGGCAACTATGATAAAATTAACATTAACTTTCTAGAATGTAATATGGATTTGTAAAAATTTTGATGTAATCATTTTCTTCTATGTTGTAATTACCTTAAAACCTTGCTAAAGTATTTGTAGTATTATTGACTTATTTTATTTTCAGCTTTAATCCTGAATTTCACTCTTAATATATTGCAACAACACCGATATTATAAAAGGCTTTGTCATTTGCTTATGTGGTAAAAAAAGACAAGAAATTAAGGTGCAATAATGACTTACGAGTATAATTTGGGGTAACATTGTAATTTAGAAATTAATTGTCATAGGCTGTAGTGTATAACGATATATGTATTATGCTTTATAAAATATTTTTCATTTAGATGTGATATATATTGCACTTTCCTATGGCATGTGCCGCCATGACTTCAACAGTATAAGAATTTCTTACATTGAATTATCCTGTTCAAGCTATACTTTTGTATTATTTTTGTTAATATAATCGTAATCATTTACTGCGGTACTCTTAACCCCCGGAAAACACCTTGTAATTAGTCAATTAGGTTGCTGATAATTATTATATATAATAACCGTAATCATCACAGTAACAGTACTTTTTTCAGCTGTGAATTTGATAAGATATGTAATGCATTAAAATCTTTGCTATGATTTTGTATGTTGAGCATATTATTTCGTTTAACCTAATGCAGTAACTTTGACGGTATTTATGTTGATAATTATATTTGTACCATTAAAGATTAAGCACGATGCCGCGCTCTATTCTTTTATAGTGCGTCATAAAGTCGATATTACCAATATTTGATTAATAAAATAGAAAATAATTTTGTAGAAAGTATACTGTTTCTCTCTTGTAATACCTCACACTGGAGTCATACTGTATCCTCGACAATTCCTTGTACTGCACTGCGTACAACAGTGTACGAGTACAGTATAATGGTACAATGTAGAGAGTACGCTCAGTAATGTTAAAAAGAATTGAAATACTCTTTGACGGTGTAATATCGTTGATCGTACTTATCACTAAGAGATCAGACATCATGAGTTCGACTTACGCGATACTGTACCTACTTTACATATTTCGGTAATTTATAATGTGAATGCTGCTAATACCCGAATCAAATAATCATAAATCACCATGTCCTGTATGCGATATACAGGCATAATACTGTACAGTACATTAGAGATGACATTTTTAAAGAAGCGTTGTTCTTTAATTAACTTATTGTCACTTCAACACTCATGTGCTGAAGAGAAAATTTTCCAAAAATTGGGCACAATAATGCCACATTTAATGCTTTCCAGCGTCAGCGATCTCCTCACTTACGATCACAGAAAATCTACCTTCGCCGACTAGGAACGTTTGGAAGCCAACTCACGATTGGTCGACTGCACCATTATATATGATCATATGGATTGCATCAATTATGGTACGTTACTATGGTTATTTACAGTACAGTACTGTACAGTACTATAGTGTGCAACATTGTACTGTACACTGTACAGTACAGTAACTGGTCTTCATGGTCTCTTCTACTACGGTACAATTAGCAATGGTTATTCTGTTAAAGAGTTACTACTACGTTGATCATGATCCCCCATATGAGATCAATCTGGCATATTTATTACTGTTATCACGCTATTCTCATACTGTGCATCTAACTTATTTAGATACACTGAAACCTACAGTACTGTATACTCAGATATTATAGTATATATGTTCTGAATACAGTAGGAACAATATTCTTCATCTCTCTATCCATCTGTGAGTGTGTGTTTCCCTCTACTTCTTTACTCCCGTTTCTCTGCTCTGCAATTCTCATACTGCAACTGTCTGATTGCTACTCGTCTTAGTCTCTGTGTTAATAAACTCCTCTCACACATTAGCAGTCTTTGTACTTAACTGTCTATATATGCAATATGCAGTATTACACTGTGCAGAGTACAGTACAGTATGACCCACAGGAATATGAATGCATCACTACCAGGGGCTTCTTAGAATTTCCTCTTAACTCGCAATCTGTCCGCAACCAACCATCACTCTATTTATTACTAATGTGTAGCTTATCTATTTCGCATACTGTCAATGACACCACTTTTCATATGCATCTTTAACTATAAATTAATTATTAGTAGTGCTTTCAGCTTCTTAATTCTGTTTCGATAGGAGTCAATAACAGCTTTATTCTTAAACAAAGAAAATCCGTAATATCCTATTATGACTAAGACAAAGTTCCTTTATGTTTTAGATTATATTCAATTACGATATTTTACAGTACCATACAGACTTGTCTTATATTAATTGTTAAGATGTTTATCCAATAGTGTCTAAGCGTTAATATTGCACTGTACTTTCTATGCTATAATGTAATTAAATGTACTTTCCAAAACATTAATGAAACACTTTATAGAAATGAATACTTCTATAAAAAAATCACTTATAATTCATATCCAATCTATTAATTTTAATCCCTATTAAATTTGTACTATACTTGTTACAAAATACCGTATAAACAAAGAATTACCACTAATTAGTTGCCGTAACAAACGAAATATTATATCTTCGTAATCTTAAACACATTAGAGTGCTTACGCTTTGTCAATAGATTAAAATAATTTTAATATTGTATTTTACAATACAAGAATAATGGTGGGTGTTATTCTATGACTCAAGTTAACGTAAAAAATAACTTGTGATAGTGATATATCTTAGCCTTGGGCAAAAAATGTCACACATAATGATCCACAGTTTAATCTTTCCAATGAAATTTAAAATTAAGAAGAGCTCGATACAGCCAATTTCTTCAAATGATCCATGAAAACTTGCAAACTAACATCATCTGTTAAAATTGAGGATCCACCACCTTCTTGCTATAATGGTTTGAAAAGTATTTCATTTAAAAATTGTCAATGCAGAGCTATAATACAGTACAATCAATTTATTTAGCATTAACAGATAAACTTACGTAGCCATATGAAGAGTTGTGCGTTTGTGATGGGTTAACTTTCGATAGCAAAAAGCGTGCCTAAAGGGAACGAAAGAGCACAAGTTAGCACACCAAAACGATAGTCTGCATAGTTTTATTCTAATACTGAGCATTCATTTATAACTACCTGACTGCCACCTTGTTCAGTAACTACATATCGGGGCATAGGAAATCGACTCTTCAATAATTCCTAAAAGGATGAAATACAAATTAGGGATAATTCTTCTATTCCATACGAATGATGATTTAATTTCGTACGCATAAGAACTCGTAGTAACATAATTTAAAGATTAATATTTTGTCCCTACATATAGTACATACTTTGGAATCTTCAATAGGCGCGGCTAATAAATTCTTAAAACTTTCGTATTCTGGATTATCCTGATAACCTTGTTTTCGCCATGTAGCAATAGTCTAAATAGATACATAGGTTTAAAAAATAGTATTTTCGCCATTCTTTACTAAGTAGGAGTCTTTATCATTCCAATAAATAAAGGAGAAGGATACAGTGAATCTTTATTTTACTGATACTCTCCATTATTGTAGACCCATCCAAAATCTCAACTTTTTCCTATACTGTATCGCTATTTTTATAAAATTTTATCCTCACCTCACCATGAAAGATTATGATGTGAAAGAAGGTATCCAACAGTAATATTCGATCAGGAGCAATGCTGCTACTATCTAATAAAACAGGCTATACAGAATTCGATAGAATTGTATAAATATATTAGTCAATGACATTGTAAGTCTTAAATAGATAAGAATACCTCTGGTGGGCCATTGAAACTGTACGAAAACATAGCAGGCTGAATCATTAAAACTCCGTTATTGACATTTTCTTTCAATAATTTATTTCTAGAATTAAATTCCATATAAAAAATTAAATTTTTACCCTAGACAATTATCGGTTGTTTTAATATTTTGCTATCATTAAAATTAAAATACGTTTTAACACTTTACCATATGTACCTATAATAAGCGGTCTCGTCTGGACTGTTATTGAAAACTTGAAGGAAAGGTGAACGCCGCAAATGGAACATAAACTAAAATAAAAATAATTGGATTATTGTAAGAATGTTGTTGATTATTTGGTGTGACAGTTTACATACTTGTGGATAAAGGGTAAAATTTTCTTGTAATTGAAACGAAGTTGGATCGTCTTTGTTATAAAGACCGAATTTTTGACACTGATAAAAAAATTAAAATTCTTTTGATAAGCCGAATCTCTTACAGTACATATCACATCTTATCACCAACAATTATGTATCTACAGGTTTATATTACCACTCTAATTAAAGTTCGATCCAGCCAACGCAATACATCAGCTCCTTCATCATTTTCAGCTCTAACAGATTATTAATAACAGATTATAATCAAAAATCTAATTTAAGGAAAACTTTGTTAAATTCAGTACTGAATCCTGACCTATTAATAGCAACTCTAGCTATTAAATCTGCAGCGCATTCTTGATCGTAAGCTCCAGTGATATAATTCATATTAATGGTGGCATCAGCCCAGCTAGTTATTGAAAGTAAATGTAGAAATTACAGCCCACAATTAGTCATGTTAAATGATCGTTGGTAATAGTTAAAAAAAAAATAATATACTAAAGCAGTGTATAATATTACAACAAAGTACGTAATTAGTTATACTTACTGCCTAGCTAAAGTCGTAACCCGAACTTTCTTCAGTCCAGAAGCGTGCTGATATTGCGTAATAAATTGTATACAAGCTGGTGCATTTTGCGATACAGGTGCGGAATGCTAGATTACAATCATTTGATTCACAATAAATTTTTACGTATGAAAGACCACTTTTGAAATACGAAAAAAACTCTTAAAATTGATATTTACCTGATTTACAATATCTAAATATACACCAATTGCTGATGAAGGGTTAATACTACATATTTTCCATGCGGAGGTACCACCAATACCGATTTCCTAAAAGCAGATATTGCTGGGTTATAATATTTCTTTCGATATAATTCTAGCACCTATTTATCATGTAATATGTAGAATGCTCGTTGAACTTACATTATCTCCGACAATACTAGATTTAACATCGCCAGATACACAACAACCGATAGCACCAGATATTTTAAGCTCTTTGGTAACCTAGTCAAAATATATTAGTTTACGTATGAAGACATACTCAACAACAAATACATTTACCACAAAACGTTGATCATTGCAATGTAAAATTAGTACCTTTATCTCAATCTTGGCATTATATCCCAATTTCAGGGAGCCTTGATCATCTGTATCGAATACGTGAATGAACGATTGCTTAAATAAGCTAGTTGAAAAAGAATCTCCCATGCACATGTGCCCGCCAGTATAGTTGCAAAGATACTTCATTTCGTGTAATCCACACTGATCCAATGCATATGCATATAAATCAATGGTGTGGCCATTTTCAGCAGCTCGTCGCCCAAGTGCCTCGTAATACTGAAATAAAAAACATGATGTATATGAGATCATTAAAAAATTCGAGGGGGGGGGAGGGGTATTTAATTAAAACAACTTCACGTTGACGTTTACCTTTGTAGCTTTCTTCATATATTTTGCGTTATCTTTATCAATATCGTGGTGAGATCTGATCCACTCCTTGAGATCATTACTAACAACCATTCCTGGACCCTTATAACAAGATGTTAAAAACTCAGCTTAACTCCTGGCCATAGATAGTATTTCTAATACGTATGTATACAATATGTATGCACAAAAGTAATGTCTTACTGAAGTAGCTGCACCGCCAACGAAAAGCATAATTCGTACACCCATATTAGGATACAAACACTAGACAAAAATAAAACAGCAGATACCTTCATTATTAAATGAATTATTACTCTTGTTGAAACGATAAAGAAAATGTTCTACATTTTTTTTATATATCAGATGTTACTTGGACAAACTGATACCTCCATCATTCCTATAGCGACAGATATTGCGACACCAGTGCATCGCGTTGGTCTCTTCCCAGTTTGCACTGGCCATGGATCATGCTGCAGCTGACTCAGTAGTTCGGTTATTGCCATATCACATCGCTCTAAGGATTGTACAAACCTATATACGAGTATAACAATAATTTTTACGTTGAAAACTTAATTAAGAATATTTATAAATTATATCAATGCATCAAGATTACCTATTCTCGTATGAGAACTGTTGTGGCTGTTGTTGGGGTGGTCGATTAGGTTGCTGAGAGGGTATGGCCGCTTGAGGAGGAGTAGTCTTGCCAAAGGCTTGCTTTAAATGTAGCATTTCCTACCAAATAGTAATAAAGTACTCAATTTAACGTATCAAACAGGACCAAGTCCTAGGCAAAGTCATATCAACCTGCAGCTGTTTGGCAGTTAGATCCTTGTCACCGCGGAAAACGTAACTTTTGGTGCAACCATCACAATTTAATTCATGAACGTAAATCTATTGTTAAAAAGCATTTATAGTTACTACCTTTATTTAATGCTAAAAGTAAATTATAGTCGTTGAGAAACAATCACGATTTGGTGTTAATTTTTACCATTCTGCCAAAGGTAATCAGACCAACCATAGACTCGGGTGGTAACAGACTAAGACATGTTTGTAAAGAGTCCTAAGAGTAAAAAAGGTGACCGCATTACATCAATGGATTATATCATGCATGACTATCATTAGTGGTAAGTGTTACAAACTTTCAAAGACTGGAAATCTTCATCGTCAATACAGGTATCAACAACGAACAGGTAGACGAACGGAGTTCTTTGTGCACGCTATTATAAATATAGACAGTCAAATAATTAAAGCTAACATTAGTTTATTATAAGAGTTAACGTAATTTACTAGCTATCAAAAATTACTTACTTCTAAAGTGTACTCAATTGTGGAAAATTGCGGAAGCAATTCAGCTGGTAGATGCTGCGGTGTAATACCAGTGTACGTATGGGGTAACTGTAAAACAAGTTACATAATTTCATTATGAGCTATTGCGCTAGCCAAACGCCAAGTAGTAGAATAGTAGGCTACTATTTTATCAAGTAGCGATACAGTCAAGTGAGAATTAGCATTTGGCATACGATAATATTAGTGGTGATGTTAAAGTCAAACTTACACTATTACGCTGCATGCAAAAGTTGCAAGCCCATTGCTTCGCGTTGAAATCGATTTGACTAGTAAATCATAAAAAGTAGTAGTTGATATTGTAAAACTTTTTTATCTTTTCAATATTTTTGATGAGCGCTTAAAATGGTACTGACCACATTGGATTTAAAACTGCACGGCAAGTATTTCTAGAGCAAAGAACAGGATTATACATCAATGGTGGCAAATCAGTTCTTTCCTTCATCGGTTGGTAGATACAGCCAATTGGAATTACCTTTAGTAGGAAAAAAAATAGTTCGAAAGGTCACGTAATTGATGGAAATTGAAGTGTGGTGATGGATAAATATATCCATTATTCGTATGGTGGCATTTTGCCGGTTAGCGCTCCACGATATAGTAAAATGTAAAGTGTACAGTCTATATAATTTATGATGCTATGTTTAATAGTAGCAAGGTATAGCAAATGTTTTATAGTTACGTGAAAGTTATAAAAGGATCATGTACCGTATAAATTAAAGAGCGGATCCCACGATACTGTAAGTAGTACAAATGTATAATAAAGGATTTCGCACTCATCATTAGACATTTGTTGAATAAAATCTTGGCATTATAATTAACATCTTTTATTAACAAGACTCGTGCTCGGATTGATCTATCGTTACTACAATATCATTTGACACTTTGTAAATCAATACTGCATTACACTCATCATAAGGGTTGATGCAAAACGGAAACTTCAATCGCACCATTCCAATTCCATGATAGTGCATTAGTGGTGTTTGTTTGTCTAGTAGTATTTCAAAGTAATCACTAGCAAAGACTACTAGCAAAAAGAATTTATTTTCTAGTAATCCTTGTCGTTAGGCAACTCACTAAGTTTTGCTACTTGAAATTTATCAAAATTCTATACGTACACTTGCTACTTTATATGGGTAGTTAAATCAAGAGACTGTATTTCTTCTCTGATCTAACGAAACAAACATGACAGATTCAATCTATTTCGGCTTAGGCTATAATTTCTCTATTGTTATTAATTAGTCCTTTTTAATCTATTTTCACCTTGAAAAACTATTCTAGTGAAAAAAAATTGTATACTAAGAAATCTGACGTTCAATGACTAGTTGTGAAATAGTGCCCTTTCTAAATTATTGATTGAACAAGAATACGGATAACTTGTATCATCATCAGAAGAAAATGCTGTCAAGCAAATGCGATTATTCTGAAATACTGTGTACGTATTCTGTCAAGCTATTTCGATTAAAGTATACTAATGTTATACTAACGTCAATGGATGTCATGGCGATGAAATTAATCTTGTACCATCAGAGTATTGTACTATTATTCGTACGTAAGTTATTTTAATTTGTGATTATAGAACACTAATTCTAAACAAGGCTAAGCAATTGGTGATACTACGGTGATACCACGAAGCACAGCTCTAATTCCTGTGTACACAGTAAATGGCAGTAATATCAGTTTAGCAGTTTATTTAATACGTATCTATACATTTGGACTTTTTACAAATGGAATTCTCAAAATGTCTACGCTAGTTGTTGAGGTTAAGTGCAAGACAGTAGTCTTTATTACTGATTTGATGGTAGTTGGAACTTTTCAAAATGGGCAGGTGGAAAATGCGAGTAGAGCACTTTAGTGGCAGTACAGTACAGTCAGTATAGGACAGTAGTCTTTCTAACTGATTTGATGGTAGTTGGAAATACGAATGGAGCGCTTCTGTAGCAGTGTAGAGTAAAGTATAGGACATATCAATGTGGATCATGTCAGCTCGAATTTGTGCTGTAAAGTAGGAGACTGCCTGTTCTCAGGAAAGAGAGAGAGTAGACTTTGGACTCTATGAAAGAGGGGATGGAGATCTATTAGTGTACTGTATAACATGAAACATGTTGTAGGCAAAATGATGCTAACCCCATTAAGATTGGACTGACGCAATCATTCCACCACATTCAATCTTTAGAATTGGAGAAGTGATCGTAGCGATTAATGAATTTCTTCTCGATCGGAAACGGCTGTGTTGTAGTGTTATCGTATCCCACTATCAAGTATTGCCTTATAGCGTCTACAGTATTGTAGCGAATGGTTTGCAGTCATATATACTACAGCACATTATTAAGTCGATCAGCATCCAAATTGGAAGGTTTGGATTGAATTGAAGGCTAATTCATTGATTCAAGTATCGGTATTTTCATACTATCCCTAGATGGTCAAATCATAGCCTGATACTGTAAGTCATTATCCAGGAACTTCATGTACCTCACTATGTGGTAGATGGAAAAGGCTTTAAAGATTGCCTTGACTATGCCAAGTCGCTAGCGGCCATATTGGACTCTTATGAACTAGATAACATGGAGTGACTTTACTATCTATCCAACATCAGTCCATACTGTATAACTGGTCTAAAAATAAAGTATGGACATTCAAGTAACGACTATAGGCATGTAGGCATGTCTACATGGTCCATGATAGAAGAAAATGGTTTCTTAATTGTAACTACTCGGTCTAAATTATCCTTGTGTAGGCAAAGTTGGACCATTGACTCGATATCGAGGCTACTGAATGGACAGTGCAGTTTGGTAGTCAGTGGTTTAAACCATCCGCTACAGTCTACATGTTTGTATAGACTATTTTGGACTAGCATGGACAATAGCACTGGTGTAAGTTTTCATTGAATTGGAGAAAAAGGATCCAGTGTTTTGGCCTAAGCCGACTGATACAATCCACTGGTAAAATTATTTCCAGGTGATTGAATATCTACTTTGCCTCATTGATCATAGTGTAATACAAGTTGATCCAATAGTAAAATGGAAAGAAGACAAAAATGGATCCACTTACCATTCTATTCGCCTCGATTCGACTGGATGGCAAGACATTCCAACTGAATCGAACACCATCACGGTCTTCAGCCTGGTTAATGAAATCCTGAAAAGTTTCTGCTGCCATGACTTTCTTCCAATGCAAGTATTGAAAAGAATCAAACGAACTAAAATTCTCGCTGCTTTCAATGGAAGAAGAGAATCAATTCCTTGTTTTATTCTTAGCCTTGTAACTCCAACTTTTTCCACCTTGGCAATGAAGGAATGGTTTGACAGCCGCCTTGACAATCTTTGACCGACGTTGGGTTGGGGTTAGCAGGGGTAGACTACCCGGGTAGGAGCAGGTGACGCGCATTCACCTGACGCGTTATGGATAGCGTATACAAACCGAGAGAAGGCCTGTTGTTTATGGTATTCAGTATGGATCGTTGGCTCGTGACAGGGTAGTTATCCAGTTGAGAGCAGGAATTGCTAGGCAAGGCTATTAGACGACGTTGTTGAAAGACTGTAGAAACATGAGTGGAGAGCGAGTGTAAAGCCTTGAGCAGGGACAAATTGGCGTGGCAGTTATGCTAGAGTAAGTACAAAGAAGATGCCACGTTGAGCAAAGTTTGCGCAAGCGTAATGGAAGTGAGTTGGATCCCATCGGCCTTTGCGGTCTTTAGCTGGTTCCAAGGGTAGAACCTGGCCACAGTGTAGACGACTGTGCTACCAGTAGTTATCAGGCGGCCTGAGACTGCACACCGTGACACAGTACTCTGGATAACGCCTTGGTCGACTTGACAACGCTATCGTAATTATTAATGTCAATAAATGAGCCATGTTTCCGTATACCTGTTGAAGGTGCTAGCAAATAAGTTACGCCATGGCGCTACTTTATCCTCGGATGGATTACTCATCTTCTCCATGTTGAGTAATCGACGGTGACGTCTAGCGAAGGGTGAAGGGAAGTGGCGGTTGACACCCATCATCCATCAACGATGCGATAGGTGGTCATTTGACTCTACCGTCACCACGTCACCAGGTACATTGTATACTGTACTATACAGGGTTGTACGTCCACTACAGTAGCCTGTAGTCTCTCCGAGTAGCGCAATACAGTATAGCAATGGTTCTTCACGTGACACGGATACAGTCCATAGAAATACTGTACACTGTAAGAAATTTCTTACCGATACTGTACACTGTGTACAGGACTAGGATACAATAAGATCATCAAGGTATCCAACCGATCCTAACCGATCCCAACCGATCTCAGGTCTATATGCCAGAGTTGTCAAGTTCTTCAACAAGTTCAAAGCAGCGTTGACACAGCAAGTTTTCTCGCTCTTTTTTTCCCAATCTCCAGTCAAAGAACAGGCTACAACATGGACAAGAACACAGGATGTGTATTCTAAATGCTGAAAGAACAGATTAACATTGATACTATACTGTACTACGGTAGTACTTTGCCGTTAGTATCAACGTTAATGGCCACTGTTGCAAGCAATCAATTGACACTAATGCGTCGGACAAGAACACAGTAACTTAGGCATGCTTTGGCCATAGACTACTAGAAGAAAATCTCGGCGTTTGCCTTTCTTCTAGTAGTCTATAATCTGGCTTAAGAATAGAATGTAGTCATTACGACAAACCATATAGCGATCTCTTAAACTTAGTAATAACCACCAATGAGCCACAATGCTGCGTGTAAATACAACAGTTCAATATTATTAAAATAATACGTTATCAATAAATTCCATATTTTATGGGTATGCGTCGTGAATAACGCTATTAAATCATCATCGATGTCATGAACATGCAGTTGTGTAGTCAGGGTATAATTCGTTGGAGATATATCTAGATATGCATATTTAGACATAGTGAATACCCGGGGTATATCGTGCTACTGGCATATTAAGATGCATCACTGTAGTAGTCCAATATGGTATTACAGGATGGAGATGAGAGATGAATATATATTTAGAGATAGCACACATCAGACATGTATTCTGTATACAGCAATGAGTTGGATAGCATTTTGATGCTTATCTAGTACAATAAAGTTGTTCTCATACATGATTGTATGTAGTCATTGACCGATGATGCATCTGAAACAGTATTACTATCAGTCGTTTACTTTAGTGGTTTCGTAGGCTTGTGCTAGGCAGAACATGGCACGTGCTTTCCTGCACATATAATAACAGTTTACACAGTAAATAAGAGATAGAAATTTCAATTGAAAGAAAAATTGATACGATTATTACTGGAAATATTCTTGTCTGATGTATATAATAATACTGTATAAATAAATGGAGGCAGACGATATTCAATATTAAAGATAAAAAGCTATATCTTTGAAAGCATGCTTCTCCACTGCATAGGATATTAAATGTCTAGCTAGAGATGGAAATTTCAATTTTAACCACAACAGTCGGTATTACAATAAATAAATAAGAGATAGAAATTTTAATTGAAAGAAAAATTGATACGATTATTACTGGAAATATTCTTGTCTGATGTATATAATAATACTGTATAAATAAATGGAGGCAGACGATATTCAATATTAAAGATAAAAAGCTATATCTTTGAAAGCATGCTTCTCAACTGCATAGGATATTAAATGTCTAGCTAGAGATACAAATTTCAATTTTAACCACAACAGTCATATTACTGAAAGCATATTTATCTACTACATAGGAGGATACTATCTGTATACGGTAAAGGCGATATATAAATTTCGATTCAAATACAAAAAGTCGTATTACAGGAAGCATGCTTATCCACTGCAAAGGAGGATACTGCCTGTATAACAGTAAATAAGAGATATAAACTTGGATTAAAGACAAAAAGTTCAATTACTGGAAGCGTCCTTATCCACTGCACATGATATACGGATATAAATTCTGATTTTAAAGACAAAAGTCATATCACTAGAAGCATGCTTATCTACTGCAGAGGAGGATACTGTCTGTATACAGTACAGTAAATAAGAGATATAAACTTTGACTTAAAGTCCTATTACTGCAATCATCCTTATCCACCGCACATGATATACGGATATATATTCTGATTTTAAAGATAAAACTCTGATCACTAAAAGCATGCTTATCGACTATATAGGAAGATACTGTCTGCATACAGTAAATAAGAGATATAAACGTTAACTTAAAGACATAAAGTCTTGCTACTGCAATCATCCTTATCCACCGCATAGGATGATACGGATATAAATTCTGATTTAAAGACAAAACTCAGATCACTAGAAGCATACCTATCTACCGTATAGGAGGATACTGTCCGTATACAGTAAATAAGAGATATCAACTTTGATTTCATTTTGAAAATCCTCCTTCAAGATCATATATTGCAATATGGTAAGTATTGTAGCTTTAAAAGTAACCAATTTAGTTTGATTACAGTTCATCCTACTTTGTATCTTAGTATAGGAGTACGCGTATTGTGAAACCGACTACTTTATTGGCGGATTACAAATTGAACAATATTCGGTAGCCTAATCTTGTTAAGAATGGTATATCCTAAGATTGTAATTAAAGTGATCTACGCTCATTTCGTTGGTGTTTTGCGTAAGACATTTTTATCTCAATTCGCGCTATCGAGTCTGCCGTTTCTATGGCAGCATCGACGAGATTGGATCATAGTTGGGCAAGTCACTTATTACCTCCAGTATCTATATTCAACTATTTTTGCTATTTATTCTTGTCAAAGCTGTATATCCTAAGATTGTAATTAAAGTGATATACGCTCATTTCGTTGGTGCTTTACGTAAGTCATTTTTACCTCAATTCGTGCTATATAGTCTGCCCTTTCTATGGCAGCATACCGTAGCAGCATCGACGAGATTGGATCCTGGTTGGGTAAGTCACCTATTACCTCCTGTATCTATATTCAACTATTTTTGCTATTTATTCTTGTCAAAGCTGTATATCCTAAGATTGTAATTAAAGTGATATACGCTCATTTCGTTGGTGCTTTACGTAAGTCATTTTTACCTCAATTCGTGCTATATAGTCTGCCCTTTCTATGGCAGCATACCGAAGCAGCATCGACGAGATTGGATCCTGGTTGGGTAAGTCACCTATTACCTCCTGCATCTATATTCAATTACTTTTGCTATTTATTCTTGTCAAAGCTGTACTCGATGAGTAGTCTAGTTGCAGTCTTCTCACTGTCCCCACCATGTTGTGCGCTATAGCGGGTATGAGCAGCATACTGTTAAAACTGCACTCCATGAGCATCTATATTCAACTACTTTTGCTATTTATTCTTGTCGAAGCTGTACTCGATGAGTAGTCTAGTTGCAGTCTTCTCACTGCCCCCACCGTGTTGTACTCTATAGCAGGTATGAGCACTGAGCAGCATACTGTTAAAACTGCTTTCCATGAGTAAATCTAGTTGCAGTCTTGTCATTGCCCCCACCGTGTTTTGCGCTATCGTGTCTACCATTTCCATACCAGCATTGACGAGATTGGATCATGGTTGGTTGGGTAAGTCACCTATTACCTCATGCAAAGATATCCAACTATTTTCGCTGTTTATCCTTGTCAAAGCTGCACTCTATAACTAGTCTAATTGCAGTCTTTTCACTACCCTACCGTGTTTTGCGCTTTAGCAGGTATAAGCATAGAGCAGCCTATGGAGAAGTAGCATTGAAGACAGATTCGATGATGAATACTTGGTTGTAAGCCACCTATTAATCTCATGCAAACATATCCAACTATTTTCGCTGTTTATCCTTGTCAAAGCTGCACTCTATAACTAGTCTAATTGCAGTCTTCTCACTACCCTACCGTGTTTTGCGCTTTAGCAGGCATAAGCACAGAGCAGCGTATCGAGAAGTAGCATCGAAGACAGCTTCGATATACTCTATCATGAATACTTGGTTGGGTAAGTCTCCTATTACCTCATGCAAACATATCCAACTATTTTCGCTGTTTATCCTTGTCAAAGCTGCACTCTATAACTAGTCTAATTGCAGTCTTCTCACTACCCTACCGTGTTTTGTGCTTTAGCAAGCATAAGCATAGAGCAGCGTATCGAGAAGTCGCATCGAAAACAGATTCGATGATGAATACTTGGTTGTAAGCCAGCTATTAACCCCATGCAAACCTATCCAACCATCTTGATCCTTTATTCTTATCTAAGCTGCACTCTATGAACAGTCGATACAGGAGCTATTGCAACCGATCATCTTCCAATTTCCTCCATTGTAATGTCCTTGAACTAGTCCAATCTTGCCATTTTCACCATTTTAAATGGCCATGTTGCGCGTAGAATTCCTGCTACTTAGGTACACAAAATAGCACTTGACACCATACTATCGAATAGGCGGCTATTTCGTTGTCTTTCTTTGACTAGCGCTAACTCCAGACTGAGGTAGGGCAGTACCTATAAACTCAGCTCCCTCCCCTTCTCCAACATTGAATGCAGTCTAGCCGTTCTATCACGTTAGCCCATGGACTTGCACGACGACAAATTCCGGCCATAAGTTGTTCTAGCAGCGCTAAATCAAGCCATTATCGACCACAAGAGCCAACATCCATCAACCATTAGTGACAAATTGCAATCTTACCCTACACTACCGCTATCACGGTGAAAGAGGGAAAAATTCAATTGCCTTGCTCGCCATGGTGGAAGCCATGTTTATTTGGACAAAGGTCAAGCTCAGCGACGCATGATCAATTGACTAACTAGGCCAGAAAGTTGTTTAGTAACACCCACAGGCCTTTTCCGCAATTGGACACTTTTATTAGTGGAAGCTGCGGGAAAGAATTGGATTGCAGGCTTTGAAAGCATTTTATACTCTTCTTGCTTGGATGGAACAGGTGTAGAGGACAATTTATTTCCTCTTGTTGACTAGGAAAGCATTGCCATCCAGTGAGACACTCGTTCAGATTGATCGCAGCAACGAGTAACGTCTCTGTTGCATATTGCTTTTGCTTGGACGAGAGCAAGGTAAGCGATTGCATTGCAGTTGCTGCTGGTGTGGAGATTGGACGATCATCGTTGGATCTTGCTTGGGGCCTTTCTTGGACGATCGATTATCGTCGAAATCATTTTCAATATCTTAAAAGGACGCTAACTAGGACGACATAGTAGTCAACGTGTGGTGGTGACGAGGTAGACGATTGCTATTACTACCGTTGAAAAATTAATCACTGATTCAATTTGTTGTGCACTTATCCACCTCCTTCTATTCCCTGCCTTTCTACAAAGTCATTGGAAAGATTAATTGAAAGCCTTGACAGTTTACCCTCTACTCTCTCGATTGCGTCTTCCTTTCTGCCGTCACGACAGATCGTAACAACAGCGAAAGGGAGAAAAAAAAAGAAACGCTAATCCACACTCATCCTCTACTTGCTTTGAAGGAGAAAACCATTGTAGTCTACTCCATCTTAACAAATTGACTGCAGTTGATTCCATAGTTCATCTCCGTTGGACGACAGCAAAATCCATTCAATCATCATGGAAGAGAGTTCGCAAGTTCAATTCTTTAATTTGACCATTTATATTACCACTTTAAGTATCGACAAAAAGATTAAAGTTGGCGGTAATTATGACATTGGCTCTGTCATGTTGAAATTAGTCGAAGAACTGGGTAAGTTGCATATTCATCCATTTAATCGAAGCTGTAAGCAACCATCCAAGATAGTCTTGACTTTTTTTTTTTTTCCCCCTCTCCGCACACACATCGCTAGAAGGATACTATTTGTATTTTAATGCCCAGTCTTATTTCAATGTCCGATGCGGTTATCGACCGCGTTTCTTCACTACTTGCATATTGCATTTGCTCCTTTTTTTTGGACATGACTTTCAAACAATCAGTCTGTACAGACTAAGCTCCATTTTATCTCTTTCCATCTTGATTGAAATCGATAAGAAAAAGAAAAAATTGATCAACGCCTAGTTCAAATTCGATGATTTTATCGTAAGCCATCGCCGACTATTTTCTACCTCGACGATTTTGACAGACTTGATTACCCATAGAGAGCTACGCTGATTCAAACTTCATTTTAAAATAAAGCGATCGATTAAAATGGATAGCCGACATGACTTGAAGACATTGAATATTAAATCAAACCATTCAAATCAAAAGGAATGGCTACTGCAATGTTAATAATTTTTATTAGCAAGCGTTGGCGAGATCGTAGCTTACTCGATTTCCACTTGCCATCGTTTACCAACTCCAGGAAACGACAATATTATTTCTCAATCGTTCGACCCGCTTTCCTCATGTCCTTGAATAATCACGGCTATCAAGGAGGCAATCGAAAATGACAATATCTTGTCGCCGTTCGATCCCTTTTCGACCCTGTCTTGACCGCTTTGAAATTGCCATCGTCTTTGAAAAGTTCATGATACTGTTGCCCTACCTTGTACGCCTAGCTCTTACAAGGATACTGTCGTCTATTTTCTCAGTTGTTTTCCTCTTATCGTTGAAGAACAGCAATCAACGAAGCCATTTCAAAGTATAGACTGTAGTACTACGTACAATATCCTTTCGTCTATCGATCCCCATTTCAATCATGCTGTTACCCTACTTGCCCTCATTGTCGATCATGAACTTAACGACGATTCTTGTAACTGTATCGCTTCAAAGTTATTCTACTAGCATACATCAAAATGTATCCAATAAATAATTTGAAAATAAAATGTTTTCCGTACGCCTGTTCATAGTCAATCCCCTAATGCTATCAACCATCAAAGAAAATCGCTAGAATGGAGAGAAAATGGTGAAGCCATATGTACTGTAGTCTAAAATACCACGCATCATGATACGTTATTGTACGCGTACACTTGGATTTTTCGCTCCATCGTAGACAGTTATTGCCATTTTTTTCTATTTTATTTTATTGATATTGATAGTAAAACAAATCTTTTCACTCGTCATGATAGTCTACTATTAAAGTTGATAAATACATGAATAACATTTTTCTATCCTTTTCAACTGGAACTTGAGCTCATTGTCCCAATTTCATTCCCATTCAATGGATATCCACACATTATCCTGTGCCATAGGCAATAGGCATAAATTGCAACCAATTCTTTCCCCTACTATGGCTGACAGGAAGAGAGTAAAATAGTGAAAAAAAATGAATTTAGCACATTCAAGAAGTGCATCCATCCTCCAACTCGGCATAATCCACGCGTGTGCTTTTACAACCCCCTCCTAAGCTTTGTAAAAATCCATTTACACCAATACAAGGCCTGTCCTTTGAATAACAATTAACTCCTTATTTTTTTATTGATCCATCAACTTGAAGGACTTGATACGGTAGTTTTTAAGATTGGAGACTGTTTTACCCTTGTTCCGTCATGGAGAGGCTGTAGTGTCATTGCTGGCGTAGGCGAAATGATATTTTCAATCATCCTGACTCCAATAAACTTGCCTACCGATGGATCGATCATGTAGAAAATGTTTCATTTTACTATTCTACGAGTTCAGTGCTGTAGTTTGAACATTTGAGCTGTTTCAATCTAGTTTAAAGGACTACTTTTATCCTTGCTTTACAATATTACAGTGCCATTGCATCGGCAAAATAATGTAATTTGAAACATCGCCATCATTATTGCCTAAATAAACTTGCTTATCATCGGCGTACTGATTGATCCATGGTGTATAAACATGTCTGATTGAAACACTATTCGACTTACAGTACTATAGTTGTTTAGATTTGAAACTGGTTTATTCTTGCTTTAGTATAGCGTAATAGAATCGCTAAAGAATTGAAAACATTGCCATCATCCACATACCGATTGATTCATGGTGTAAAATGTCTCATAATGCACTATTACAACCAAGAGTGATTGTAGAGAGGGCAAACAAATATAAACTAACTCCTATACTACTTACTAACATTTGATCAAGGATATAAAGTATCCAGTTTGCAACGATTTGATCGTTCAATCAGTATAACTAGAGAGGAAAAAATTGATCGATAATTATACATAATTAATCATACAGTAAAGATAGTCTTACTTTGGTCAGATTTTTACCTTGATGGTTCAATCGCAATCGTACACTTTGGCCTACAGTGTAAACGATTCCATTTTCAAAAGAGGCCAACCAATGATATTTTAATCTATGGATGAATGATAGCAACTAATAGTATCCAACTTTCAGTAGTGGGACCATGAATGATTTTAATCGGAGTAGCTAAAGAGGAAATCAATAAGAGTCGATGGCAATTTATTCTATCTAAGATCGCTTTATTTCAGTCATAAGGTTTCTATCGACGCGTGAACGAATGAATGATCCAATCGATCCAATTTTTAATACCGTAGTCCAACCATTAGCGGCCATTGAATCAACGTAGCCAAAGCGGAAAATAGTCATGATGATAGACGTACATTCTTGCATAGGATTGCAAGATAAATTTAAATTATTGATATTGTTCATTCAGTAGTAAAATGATTTCAATTAGATAAAATAGTTTAATTACTTGATAGACTTATTGCCCTGTTGGCACTTTTACACTACTTTGAAGTTTGAATGAAATTATCGGAAATAATAACAAGTTGAAGAGATTTTCTTCAGGGCTTTATTACTGTAGTAACCATTTCTCGTTTGTATTTTGCCTGTAGGTATTCCTATGGATTGGTCCGACCACGCATTATGGTGGCCATCCAAGAAACGTTGGCTATTACAACATCGTATGTCACTCGATGCTTGTAGTGTTCAAGCGGATTCCAATCTTTATTTTACACCAACTCATAAAGTTCTGAAGATTCAATTACCTGATTTACAGTATTACGATATGAGAGTCGATTTCTCGGTGACCGCTTTCAATGCAGTCATGTATCTATGCAATGATTTAGGGATTCGACATCCTGAAGAATTATCATTAATGCGAGTACCTACTACTAAATCAAGTGCACGTAAAAAGCAAAACGCTACAGTAACCAAGAAAGACAGTAGTATCAATACCAGTTTAAAATCCAACGATTCCAATAAATCAATATCCGGTGTCCACGACGAGTCCGATTCACTCAGTACAACGGGTAAGAAATTACAGTTTAAGTTAACGACTACATATAAAAGAAGAGATTCTTCTTTTCCAGTGCTATAAACTAATTGTGTTTCATGATGTTGTAAGCTATCCATTAAATGCCAGAAAAGAGATTCTTCTATATCGCTAGTAAAGCGTTAAAACGTGGTGATACAGTTTATTACGGTACTCACGTTGATTATGTTCCATCATTCTGTAAGCTATCGATTGGATGAAGAAGAGATTCTTCGTTCTCAGGACAAGAATGTTAAGATATAATACTATACTTTGAATGTGCTCCATCGTATCAAAGAAAAGGCTCCTCTTTTCCAGCACTAAAACGTTAAGATACAATACTCTACTTTAATTCTGCCGCACCATGTCAAAGAAGAGGTTCTTCTTCTGCTCAAACGTTAAGATGGAGCACTAAGCTTTGAGTGCTCCATTCTATCAAAAAGGAGGCTCTTCTTTCAACTATTAAAACGTGAATATACTATGCTATAGATCAATTCTATTCAATCATTCCGTAACATATCGCTTTGATATCAGAGATGAGGCTCTTTCTTTTGCATAACTCGAGCGTTAAGATGCAGTACTATACTTTAATTCTACTCTATAATACCAACCTATTAGCTGCTATGATCTATGAAAAGTTAAGTTAAATCAACTTAATATTGATGATGGACATCAACTGACTTACAGTATCATCCACTGAATGTCTCCTAATGCTATCCTTTCCCTACTATTTTAATCAATCTTACCACTATAGGACAGAACCAAGCTCTAACTTCATCGCGCTTAGATACCTTAAATGTATCGGTGGTCAGGCCTGAAGCACTAGCCAATAGTCCACTAACACCTTCACAAGATATCTTGCGTGCATTATTCAAGAATAGTTCATTCAGTGATCGAGTTAAAAAAAATTCCAAGTAAGTTAGAATCAAATTAAGCTCAATCATGATGAATAAATTGAAATAAACCAAGTCGTACTTGTCGATAATAAGTGCTAGTAGTGATAGAATAACCTTAAAATTGTTTTTTTTTTCCTTAGTTGGTTGGATTCATCACGGTCTTTAATGGAACAAGATATAGTGGAAGGGGATACCGTTCAATTACGATTCAAATATCATAACATTTTCCAATTAAACACCAAGGTATAGTCCTATCTTCACTCCAATTATTATTCTACTTGTAAGGCATCATGTTTTATTGTCGTCTTTTTTAATTTAAATTAGTTGGATGAAGTTAGAATCAATCAACTATATGAACAAATTAGGTGGTCTACCTTAACAGAAGATATTGATTGCACTGATGAAGAAATGATACAATTTGCCGCTTTACAGGTAACTAACGCCTCTATTAGACCTGCATAAGTAGCATGCCAGTATTCTTCAATAATCGACTTATTGATATAGCTACAACGATTACTTTATAATATATTACAGTTTCACATTTACCTCATCGGAAAGTGCGATAACAAGAGTGGAAATCGATCAAATGACAATGATGACATTGATGCAGCTCTTTCAGATTTACAGGTAGATTTTTTTTTTTTTATAGCTATCACCATCGCAAAATTTGCTTGCTATTACTCTTTGTTTTATCTACATGATATTGATATACGTGAAAAATATCGATACAGGTATCCTTGGAAGGTGCAGGAAAGGGCCTTAACCAGGTTAGCTATCTCTTACTAGTTACTTAGTTGTACGCCCATCTTTACAAGTTCTATACAACGAAAGCCTAATAAAGGCCATTTCTTACTAATAATATATTATAGGACAGCGGTACCATACCGGAGCTGTGTGACTATCTAAAATATTTCAAGTTGGTACCATAAATCCTCTTGACATTAATCAAAGACGTCATCGCTAAAATATTTCTCCTTTTCTCTATTTTAACAGAAAGCAAAGATTTGCTCTAAAATCATTCAAAAAGTGTTATTGCGTTGTCAAAGGTTAGTGACAACACGCTTGTAAATTATTAATAATACTATTTATATATCGATTTACTTTAACAGTTTACATTACATGTTTATTTTGAAATTTTTACGCAGATATGATTTTAGCCTTTTACAAGCATAAAGATGACGTTGCTGGCGGTCAAGCTATCGCTAAATTTAGCTTAAAAGGTAACATTCTATATTCCCATCATATAGCCTATTAGCTACATGATTTAACCTAGAACCTACATCTTTTACAGGTTGTCAAGTTACCCCAGATGTCAACGTTAGTAAGGGAAAATATATGATTAAATTAGTCTTGCCATCGGATGATGACTCTGGACACCTTTTATTATGTGAAACGGTAACATATAGACGGTATAAAATAGTAGTTTCTACATAATGGTCAGCCTAATATTTTATTATCATTGTGACTCTGTAATATCCTTGAAAATAGAACGTAATTTAAATGATGCTTTATATCGCTAAAATACTTAAACTTATTGATAGGAATTACAATATGCGCAATGGATGGCAGCATTCCGATTAGCTTCAAGAAATAAGACCATGGCAGACAGTAGTTATGATCCAGAAATCTCTAGCATTTTAGCATTTTTAAGTATGCAGCGAAGAAAGCAAACTCCCATTGACATAGGACTGGTAAGAGAAATAAACTGTATTAGCAATTGAGATCGCAGATTTTATATCGATATTATATTTGTTGGCACAAATTGTTACAGTCACAGACATGTTATTAAGGCATCTACCCATATGTGATGTAGTTTTACTAATAATTTGTATTTATTTGTCCGTAGTTTATTTGTCGAGTAATATTACTGTTCCACACTTTAATTTTACTAAACTTTTTCATTGCAGCAGACAGATGTTCAACCGCAGGACTTTGTAAATGGTACATTCTTAAAAAAATATAAGACCAAACAAGTATGTAGAATGTGGATATTCGTTATAGCTATGAAACAGTAATGGATAAAAATGATGCATTATTATAACAAATTATACGCATGTTGAAATGTTCCCCAAATTTACTTACATCATAAAATTATTATCTCGCAGATTGCACATATGATTCTTGAACAGAGATCGTCATTTGCTGAATTATCTACCGTGGATGCAAAATTAAAATTTATCAGAATCTGGGAAGCTTTGCCAGGATGCACAACAACGTGCTTTTACGTTAAATTTAGAAATCAACGAAAAGAAGCTACGGTATGTTATCAATAAAAAAAAAACAATAGTGTTCCTTGCACTACACTTTGTATGTATTTCCTTGTTATACGATTTCAATAAAAGTGTACTAAGCGAGATTAAATGTTCCTCTTAACAGGAACTACTAGGAGTCACATACAATTCAATAGTTAGAATGGATCCACATAGTCACAGTATATTGAGTACATGGCGTTTCAGTACAATGAAATCCTGGAACGTAAATTGGGAAATAAGAGAATTACAAATTGAATTTGATGAGAGTACACTATCATTCGCTTGCTCTATTAATGATTGCAAAGTTATTCATGAATTTATTGGCGGATACATTTATTTATCAATGCGAAAAGAGGGCCATCAAGCTGCTGATGAAGAAATGTTCCATAAATTGACTGGAGGCTGGGATAATGCCCTGCAATATCATTTCTCTGGATAGATACTAATAGCTAATTAGAATATAAACATAACTAATCCATACTACAGCTATCAGGTAATTTTATATCAAATTGAATTTAGCAGAACTACCGGACTACAGTAAGAATGAAATCACCTAGTTGTTATTTTTAGTTCCAGTATATGAGATTGCACTACTACTACTCTAAAAAACATCATTTGTAAAAACTACTCCGATATCAAACTAATAGGTTCGGTCCTTTCTTTAATCTTTATACCGCAATTGCTTTTTATGATTTGTCTTGGCTATGAGGCATATTTTACATAAATACCTACAGTATTTACAGCATAAAACTACTATTAGAATATTAATATTTGTTGGATCTGATATATACCTTTGTATGAATAGCTTATATTCATTTGAGTAACTAGATACAAATAGCGCCCGCTGATAATCATAACAGTAATACAAATCAATGTCGTTACAATTCTTCCGGATGGTCAAATTGATAAATGTGTTATTTATTGAATTATAACATCTATTAACCTGTTGTACAACCATCATCCATCTTTAATACTGACTTGCTTAATAATCAAATATCTATCAAAAATTTTTGTGAATTTAAACTGTATTTATTAAAAATGCCATACAAAATTGATTTCATGCAGTTGCGATACAGTGTACTGTATCACTTTTATGTTCTCCCTATGATATATTATATACTAGGGTAAATCTGATAATATAATTGTTTATCAGTTGTCTCAATATCGTTAAAGAATATTGTGACACTAAATGATGGGTAAGGCTATGATATAGTATGACCAGAACCAGTATTTGTGTAGCAAATTTTATGTTAGCCTAATTCTTTATTTTTCGCCATGTAGTCATTGAACAATCTTACAGCTGCTTTCTTAACTATAAATCATTTTTGTTATGAAATTGACATCAATCCGAGCCAAGAAACTAATTAAAGTACTTTTTTCCACCTCGCTTCATTCTATGTATTGCTGTATTTGCCTATTCAATTTAATTTTAATCTATTTTACTTTATAAAATGATTGGTATTATTCTACTCTCGTACACTATCAATAAAGTATTGACTGTCTTTTTTGATGAAACTAGAGTACCCATGACTGATTGTGTCGATTAAAACTCTAAATGTTATGTCACGCATCCACTACAATATTGAAACTAGCAGCAATCATCTACATGTTTTTCACTTTATGAATGTGAGATATACTGTAAGTCATGAAATTAGTACGTACAAGTATATTACTAATTGTCTTTTTTGATGGAACTTTTTTATCCTTGTTATACATCAGAGATGATAGCTTTCCATAAAAAATCGAGATAAGCTAATGATAAAAACTTAAAGTCTCATTCAATATAAAAGATGGAGTTATTTAAGTATTTAGTTAGTGGTAGATACGCTTATATCGTATTAAACTCGTATTATCGTATACGCATATTTCCTAAATTCTAATTATTATAATAGTCAAAATTCCTCTATCGAATATCTTTGATATGAGCGGAAATTTTGACTACAGTAGTGATAGATATACTGTATTGCATTTTATATTTGATTAATTATAAAAGCTAAAGTTCCTCCATCGATAGTAGCCTTGAATAAGAACGGAAATAATAACTAGTGATCGATATACTGTATTATATTTTATATTTGATCAATTATAAAAACTAAATTTCCTCTATCTACAGTAGTATCCTTAACAAGAACAGAAATTATAACTAGAGATAGATATACTATATTGCATTTTATATTTGATTGATTATAAAAGCTAAAATTCCTCCATCGATAGTAGCCTTGAAAAGAACAGAAATTTGTACTACTGATCGATATACTACAGTAGTGTTGTATTTTATACTTGATTACTTATAAAAGCTAAATTTCCTCCATCGATAGTAGCCTTGATAAGAACAGAAATTTGTACTAATGATCGATATACTACAGTAGTGTTGTATTTTGTATTTGATTGATTATAAAAGCTAAAGTTCCTCCATCGATAGTAGCCTTGAATAAGAACGGAAATTATAACCAGTGATCGATATACTGTATTATATTTTATATTTGATCGATTATAAAAGCTAAATTTCCTCTATCTACAGTAGTATCCTTAACAAGAACAGAAATTATAACTAGAGATAGATATACTATATTGCATTTTATATTTGATCGATTATAAAAGCTAAAGTTCCTCCATCGATAGTAGCCTTGATAAGAACAGAAATTTGGACTACGGATCGATATACTACAGTAGCGCTGCATTTTATACTTGATTACTTATAAAATCTAAAGTTCCTCCATCGATAGTAGCCTTGATAAGAACAGAAATTTGTACTAATGATCGATATACTACAGTAGTGTTGTATTTTGTAATTGATTGATTATAAAAGCTAAAGTTCCTCCATCGATAGTAGCCTTGAATAAGAACGGAAATTAGAACTAATGATCGATATACTACAGTAGTGTTGCATTTTGTATTTGATTGATTATAAAAGCTAAATTTCCTCCATCGATAGTAGCCTTGATAAGAACAGAAATTTGTACTACTGATCGATATACTACAGTAGTGTTGCATTTTGTATTTGATTGATTATAAAAGCTAAAGTTCCTCCATCGATAGTAGCCTTGAATAAGAACGGAAATTAGAACTAGTGATCGATATAATGTATTATATTTTATATTTGATCGATTATAAAAGCTAAAGTTCCTCTATCTAGTATCCTTAACAAGAACAGAAATTATAACTAGAGATAGATATACTATATTGCATTTTATATTTGATTGATTATAAAAGCTAAAGTTCCTCCATCGATAGTAGTATTCTTGAATTGAAGGAAAAATGGATGAGCTGGGAACTTCTATATTGTATGCAGTAGACTATCCCAAACTAGTGAATAAATGCTATAGAAATGCTGGACCGTAAAGCAGATTGAAGTGGTATGCTGGCCAAGCATGGAATATTTCATGTATTCAGTTGATAGTGTACACTGTGTGAAGTTCCATACAGTACCGAATCACCCATACTGTCTATATACACGATTAGACAGGGTACGAATCGACTCTGAATCTGCTTCCTGTTGGCAGTCTCCCCTAATAAGCAAATCGAAGTTGGATCTGCTCCCTTTAGCCTTGATGTTCTTGATTCATTTTACGTATGGAACAAAATGACTGAAGAAAACAGCCAAGTTAGCAAGTTAGAGAATAACCAGGCAGTCAATGCCATGTTAAAACATGTTACTGCCAGCAACTGCAGTATTGTAAGTCAACAGAGAGGCGATGAAGAGCTATCGAATGATGATAAAATGAATCGGTTAATGCAAATACTCCATCATCAACCTGCAACATTTCTATTCCGATTTGGCCAATATTTAAATCCAAGTCATCTCAAGTATTTCGAACAATTCCACGATAACTTTACTATCAGTCATTATCTACGTCAAATTAAGGAAGGATTGGACGATTCTAAAATGAAAGTAAGGGTACGCAATAGACGTTACGAATGTTTGCAACGACTAATCGAGGATGGTAATTATTTTGATGATGAAGAAATGAGAAAACGATGCCCATATTTATATGAGCAATATATCGGTCAATATTTGTCAGCCGATGAAAAGAATGAAATTGCTCTGCGCCATTCAGCAGTGTCTTTATCGGGATATTTGCACTATCTATTAGATGAATCGGAAACCAAGGCATTACTGGAACATCGTCGAAAACGTGAAGAAGAAATCACAGAAGAGGAAGAAGACGATGATGATGAGGATGATAACGATCCTGGTAATACTGCCATCTCTTTTAGGATAGCGAGAAGGCTTATACGAAATACAGTTTATTAAGATTGTAGCTTGGACTTGTTGAATGAGTCATGATAACCCATTGCATACATGTATTTATGTGTCTATGAAGCAACAGTGCAATCGTTAATGGAGTCCAACACAGGAGACTTGATTAGTCAAACAAGCAATTACTACAGTAGCATAAAAGCAATAGTCACTTATAGAATCGCCACCCTAAGACTGTAAACTGCTTTATTGTAAATATCTTTGAACCTAGAATCATACTGTAGGGATGAAGTGTTGTTAAAGAAGTTGTCATAGCATTTGGAAAATGAGACATACCTCTAATTCTTTATCTATCAAATAACAATTTTATTATTCTAGATAAGAATGAGCAAACCAAGGTTATTAGCGATGAAGAGAAAACAAGATCTCGTCAAGAATTTGTAAATATTATGAAAACTCGCTTTCTAAATGGAGAAGATACCGAATTTGATTATGGCAAAATTGATTATGATGTTGAATACGATTCTTTAAAAGTAAGAACTCAAGATGAAGAAGATCGTTACTTTGATGGTGAAGATTCTGAAACTTGTAGTGATTATCAAAATGAAAATGATGATAATGTTATTGACTATGACGATGAACGATTTGTAACTGATACTAATTAGCTTATTTCATTAATCTATCATGTATACCGCTATCAATATTGTTAGACAATTTTATGTTCATAAACTGCTGCAGTCGTTGTAAAAAAATTGAAATATCATGCATACGTCTCTATTGCCTGCAGCATCAAAGAAAGGCTAATTTATTAGTTATGATAATACTTCTAGTGTACTATAAATTATGCACAGTAATGCTTGCAGTTTTACACTAGACTTGGATAAAATGGTGTATGGATTTTAACGGATCAATATACGATTGTCAAAATCGCTGTATGATTTCGTATTGTGAAGGGTTAGGATAGTTTTTGAAGTTCCTTTTCTTGTTCATTTATTCTATAATTGACCTTGGATAAGAGTAAATTTTTCTCCAAACTATATTTCTAAACTCCGTTGATGCTATTGATATATACTTCTCCAGCGACAATGAATATCTAATTAATGAAGGACTTGTGCTTGTATATATATAAAATTTTATTATTTTGTCGAAAATTGTATAAGATCGTATGTGCATCGATATATACACACATAACAAATATTGGTTTAATTCCACTGTATAATTATATTCTAGATGGCTAAAGACATAAAAATAAACTGTAAAAAAGTTACGATAAATCGGATTATTTTATAATACCGCCGTTCAAAAATTTCATTGTATCTTATACATTTAATTAAATGAATCATCATAGTGTATTTGCCTATATAATTTCTTGATAAAAAAAGTACAAACCTCTATCTACTAGCTAAAAAATTCTCTAATACTTAATAGTAGTAAGAAAGATCAAATTTTGCAATTGCCCAATTGAAGTCATTATTAAGTGACAAATCTCTAGCTCATAGTGTCGGTTAGCCATTGTAATTGAAATAATTTTCGGTCAAGCCTAGCGATAATTTCTTAAACCTATTTCCAATCGAGTATAAAATACAAGCATAAACAACGCTACTTTCAGATTGCTAATACGTACATATCGTGCTTATTAAAAATAAGATGGAAGACAACCTACCGATGTCTAAATTAACTACTTGTGTTAACTTTCAATGTCGGCTGTTTTGCAGGAAATAATACATTATTCATTTTATGATACATTATCGTTAATTCTCTTAACCTGGGATAGGTACTCTATAAAAAAGCAATATTTCATCCGTGAATAAAACATTCATTAGTTCGATGTTGTATGTTCATTTATTGGTAGTGAGATATTATTATCGATATAGGAAATCTATATAAGAAAATACTTGTACAAATATCCAAATTTTATAAATTACAGCATCTGAAACTAAAAACAAAAAAGACAGAGTAACTACCGTAAATAATGGTATGAGTTGTTCATTCTTCATTAAGACCGATAGATAAAAGATAACCATGTGCTATAAATCAAGAAATTTGTAATAGAAAATGATTGAAAGGAAGCCTTATAGACACTATACCCGTATGTACAATAAGTAGACATTTTAATCATAGTATTTATAGACCTTTATGTTAAAGTAGTATTTTAAATGCGGTAATAAAATCTTCAATATTGCTAGATACAGTAGTTAGCTACCAATATCGTGAGCCCTGAAGTACTAAATTTTTCAAAAATACTTATTACTATTTCTTGCATCCTGACAAGTTAATACTTACCATGGTTATAGCTTCATTGATGGCAATAGTTTCAATATTATCTATAGCAATAAAACGAACATTCCTATAGCCACTTTTGTACGTAACTCCTACTTGCAGACCAAGATCTTTAATGACCATAATAGATTCTTGATAGAAAGTGAAAAAAGCCTTTTTAATACTACTGTAGTAACAGATTATAATTGTGGAGAGGATCAACAATGCCTTTCTACAACATAATTCTTGCATTGATATTATATTTGCACATTTTATTTGTCTAAAATATTAATAAACTTAAACTTTACATAGTATGTAGTGTAATTGGAGCTGTAGAGTATTATTATTCAATCTCTATACACGCAAGTACTTGTATCGTTACAACACATAGGAGTATAATATAATTGATTCGATTTACGGTTCTCTTACAAGCCAAAGTTAGCAGATACTTAACAATCTTATAGCACCTCTTAATTCAGTATAAAGAGTTTATTCACGTAATTTACAACTAAATTTTACATAGGACAAGCTTTATCTCAGTTAGGCATTTCGATATCTTTAAGTAAAGTATTCTATAAGAAGAGGTTATAAAGAGAGCTGATTGAACCATGAATGTACAGCCTAGATTGCTAAAATTTCCAGTAGTACAGTATTACACATGTAATTGCATACTCTAGATTGATAATATTGCTATAAATCGATCAACATTTCACTCTGCTATTCTCTAGCTAATTTGCAGCATGATATCAAAGTATAGCAGGACAGTATGCTTACTCGCTTACCTTCATGGACTTGGCCGAAATAAAGGATGCTTAATAGTAAGCACAAAATGATAGAAGCCAGATTGTAAAGTAGAGATCCTTGGCATTTCTAATAAGTTTAAAAAAAGTGTTGTGAATTATATGACTGGTACTATAAGTATCACTATTTATAATTTTTTGGCTTAGATTATGGTTATTAGGACAAAAGTATAACAGTAGATGCTGGCATAGACAAGTATACTATAATATGCATGTACAAAATTGGTAACAGATCTGCCGTATAATGGTGTAGAAATATTAAACTTGTTCTTAATAGTAAGTAATGACATGGCAGGGACTATTAGCAGGGACTACTACATAGTAATCACTGCTATTAGTAAAATTGTATCATAACTCATGATTATAATGTCTTCGTTGGTGTTTATCGAGAAACCGCAGTTGCGTATACGGTAGGTATAAAGTAAGTATAAAGTAAGTTCCATGACTTAATATATTAGTATGTTTATTTGGAGGTAATGCATCGTGGATGTAGGCTGATATAGTAGCATGAATGCACTATTATAAACGATTTCAGTGATAGAAGTGAACATTTTAGGTACGGCATCCTTATCCTCTATCAACTAGAATAGAGTAACTAGTCGTCATTGTAGTTGTATCGAAGAGGAGAGCAAGGACTACAAGTTGTCGACAACGCTCCATGACTAACTCTATTTGGACAGTATTCTTGCCTTGAAGTAGTACACTATCGATGTAGACTAGTACAGTAGGCATGAATATCATTTTTACCAAGGATATACGAGTATGAACTCTGATGGACATCAGTTGTTAGAGGTAAGTTTATAGGTAAGGTGTCCTTTTGCTGCAGGCTAAACTATTATCATACTGTGGTCGTCATGACAGAAAAGAGAAAAGTCTGGTAGTGCATGTCATTTGGTAGCATGCAATTGCCTTTGAACTAGTCTATACTTTCAAATAGGATTGTTTCCGATTTCATGGATAGCTATACTGTATACCCATATGTGTATATCACGTCTATTTAGATGAAGACACTTACGCTCCAGCATAACCATAACAACACCAAGCCTATCAAGCAATACGTTAAAGCAGACATGAAAGTCATTTTTGGATGATGGATGATTTTATATTGCAGGTGTTCAGGTGCATGTTGAATGGATTGAATGGCAATTTCCTGGCCAAAACTATTATTAACCGTTGTAAAACTTTCCTTTTGGCTGCAAGGATAGTCGACGATTGGCATTCTTCTATCAAGTCAATAATTAAGCGATCATGATGAAAGGCAAGTACAATTTTAGAATGAAGATGGCGCGTGGTAAGAGTATGCAATAGATTAGTGCATGACTGAGCATCACTGGCCACGACGGATGGCTTTTCTATCCCTTATACAGTCCAATTTCTCTTGAATGCAATCGTTTCTCAAGCTCAACAAGATAGAAATTGCATTGCATCGAGTCTAAAAGTCCATTCCTCTACAGTAATGAGTAGCCTAGATCGATCTTGTCTAGCTGCGTTGCCTAGCAATTACTCTATCGTCTAGTTCATTCATTTCTGCTATAAAATGATTGAAAAGTAGTTGCCGTCAGCGATGATTGAGTGGGTACGCTATTAGCAGCAGTCATGTTTGCGATGTTATATCGACAGGGCAGGCATGTTTGCCCAGTTGATACAACAGCCTTGACACTTGCCTCCCTGCAGTTACTATGGCAGTGACTAATGCTCATTTGATCGCAACTCGACTTCCATGGATGCTTGCAAAGATGCTGGCCATTTTACTCTACTCTACCACTAGAACGGTGTCCTCTACGATGCACAATTTACTTTAGTCTTAGCAGATTTGTAAGGATCCTTGCAAAGATGCTGGCCATTTTACTCTACTCTACCACTAGAACGGTGTCCTCTACGATGCACAATTTACTTTAGTCTTAGCAGATTTGTAAGGATCCTTGCAAAGATGCTGGCCATTTTACTCTACTCTACCACTAGAACGGTGTCCTCTACGATGCACAATCTACTTTAGTCTTAGCAGATTTGTAAGGATCCTTGCAAAGATGCTGGCCATTTTACTCTACTCGACCGCTAGAACGGTGTCCTCTACGATGCACAATCTACTGTAGTCTTAGCAGATTTGTAAGGATCCTTGCAAAGATGCTGGCCATTCTACTCTACCACTAGAATGGCGTACTCTACGATGCACAACCTACTGTAGCCTTAGCAGATTTGCAATGATCTTTGCAAGGATCCTGGCCATTTTACTCTACAGGGTTACCACTGGACCGGTATACTCTACGATGCACAACCAAGTGTAGCCTTAGTAGATTTGCAAGGATCTTTGCAAAGACGCTGGCCACTTTACTGTAACACTAGAACGATGCACAACCTACTGTAGCCTTAGCAGATTGGCCTGCGTTGGAAATATGAACCCGATTGCAATTATCGATTTTCTAACCCAAAATGAGTACAATCGCCATACAAATACTGTGTAGTGATACAGAAATTGTCAAGACGAAAACCGCCTTGGCTCGAGTTGATTTCAAGTCGGGTTTCGGCTTGACTTTGCTGAGCTCGAGAGGTTGGGCACAATTGGAATGGAGACAACTTGCGCGATGGACAAAATTAGCTAGATTCTACTCAATATGAATTGATCTACAGTACAGTAGAGAAATAACGCTCCAATCTTGCAAATTCATTGTACTGTAATGTATTTATTGATTGGATCGCCAGTAGTCCAAATTAGTTGTATATTCAACTATACATAACTCTACGGTGGTCCACAATCTCTTTCCTACTACAGCTGATCAAGTAATCCCTGCAGCTGATACTGACTGAAATTGTCGGCTTCGATATGTGCGCAGTTTATTGAACAGCAATAGCAGTTATCATCACTGATCAGCCTGTTAGAATTGTACATTTGAAGACACAATTATCGGATGATTGGGTCTACTGTGCAATGAGTGTGCAACAGTGCATGCACAACAGCGACCACAGTATGAATGATTAGCGACGATCAAAGTCTCCAATCTTGCAAATTCATTCTACTGTACAGTATTTACGGTATTTATATCATCCTATGCAGTGCAAGAAGGCGAATGCAAGGATAGAAGATGAATTTGCAAGGCCACTGAGGCAAAATAATGGAAAAGCTATCGGCTGATCAAGAAGGATTGTTCAAGTAGTGCCAATTTTTCAACACAATATATTGTGCAAGTGATTTATCTATTTCATTCGTCGTCCTCCTATTGCTGTCGTTATATTTTGATCTTAATGACCCAATCCATGCCATCCCTACAGTAGCTTTACAGTGCTGCTGCAAGATAAAAAAAGAGACACGGTGCACCACTTGGTTATGCAAGCGTTTGTTAAACATTCAGTCGGTGGGGGAACTTTTGGAAAAGGAGGCAGCGGCGGTTAGGTATAGTCAAAAAGATGCAACAAATTCTGCTGCTGGTCATCTCAATTGAGCCATCAATGGGAAATAAAGCACTATCCTGTCCGCGATTGCCATCCAAATGAGCTGCTAGTTGGGCATTATCCTCAACTACTAAAACATCTTGTTTTAGTACATTAAAAGGTTTTCTTGAAATGGGAAAGAAAGCACTATCCTGTCCGCGATTGCCATCCAAATGAGCTGCTAGTTGGGCATTATCCTCAACTACTAAAACATCTTGTTTTAGTACATTAAAAGGTTTTCTTGAAATGGGAAAGAAAGCACTATCCTGTCCGCGATTGCCATCCAAATGAGCTGCTAGTTGGGCACTATCCTCAACTACTAAAACATCTTGTTTTAGTACATTAAAAGGTTTTTCTTTTAGTAAAGTGAAAAGTTGTCTTCGTCTCTTCCATCCTAGTAGACAGAATATAAGGTGATGGCCAACTGTCCGAGGTGGGTCCGATCCGGATCCGATCCAGTGCGGTCCGAATGCAGTCCGGGTTTGGAGCCGAACGAGACCACAATGAGTACCGTACCCAAGTGGATCGACAAGACTATCTAGTATCCAATACACCGATAGCATCTAGAGGAATTAGTATCAACACAGACCGTCTCGATCGATTTCACTATGACATGGCTTTCAACACCATGGTCAGTGCAGTCAACCCGCCTTCAAAAGGGATCAATAATCTTCCATACTGACAACTATACAATGTGCAATACACTAGATCGTCGATGATACTGTAGCCTCTCATTCAGCCAACAATCTCATTCAACTGCCAACTATTGGAGCCATTGCAAGTCCAAAGTGAAGAAAAAGCAAGCCACCATTAAGCGAAGAACAGCCAATAGCTAAAAGAAAGAGGCCAAATTGGAAATCAAGGGAAGACTTGAGAGAATTTGTTACAGCAATGGCACAAAAATCTCCAAAAGTCTCTCTTGAAGCTCAAAGTGACGCCGTGGTCTACCATGTTGGAGGTGAGTAGATTGTCAGTGATATCGATGGAATTTCTCGTCGTACATGCTCATCGATTTGGAAACTTTTCCTATCGATAGTTGCTAATATGACCCAATGGTCATGCTAGCCATGCAGTATATCCTGTAGACTAGTAATCCAACATCAATTTCAACCAGCTTAGAAATAGAATAGGATAGGATAGTATCGGCAAATGCGGCATAATATCATCCAGGGTAGTCAACCCAAGGGACAGTCCTCATTGGTTACTATGACAATCCTCTTGCCTTTCTCGCTTTTCAACCCAAAATAGTCCTCTTCTCGTTTGGCGAGTAGGAAGAGGATAGAAAGAATTCATTCATCGAGACAGATTTTCCCATCTATTAAGCTATACAGTAAGATAAAGAATGCGTTGATGTTACGTATAGACTTTATTTCTACCATCAGTAATCGTATACGTTGATCATAAGACGACTGCCATTGCATTGATCAACATCAAGAGCCAGAGAAGAAGATAAAATGATGATTGTATCAAGGAATAATAATACTCAATGATAGGAGGTAATTAAAGGATAACCATGGACTCAATTAGCAATCAAGATGGAAATAAATACGTTCTAAACAGCATCAACTAGGTTAGGAGAACACGACACGATACCATAGGCAAATTTACTACATGATCGTCATCATTCATCATCATGACAATATTGTAGTTTACAACCCTTTCTCATTCTAGCCTTGAACCAAATGATCATTTATTGTGTCGCCAACAGTAATAAGTGAAGGGTAGGACATTAATCTTGATAAAGTCCCATCGATTAGGCTATATACTTGTACATGAAACAGTTCACTTTAGTGATAGATTGCATTTTCTTCAACTAGCATCCTACCAATGCATGCTGCTTACAGTACTCTTGCTTATGCCAAGCCATCAATATCAATAAAAAGAAAGAGACAAAGAATAAGTACGTAGCGTTATTTGAACTAAGAATTGCAATAATTTGAATACAGTAGTAGGAAATTATAGAGTAAAGAGTATTGATCAGGCTAGCAATCAAGATGGAGATCAACTCATACAAGAAAACTTTGACAAACTTTTGAAAATAACGTCATACCGTACCATGAGTAAATAAGCCGTTCAGTCATGGTGGATATTCAACAGAAAATGAGCCATTCTTCTATCCATGATATTACTTGCATCTTCTTTCTCATCGACAACATTGGTGATAAATCACTCTGGCAGTTAGCTAGTACCAACATGATAAGCTAAGGTAGCCAAATTTATCTTCATTTTATGGACTAAGCTCGATAGTTAGACGTACACGAGAATAACTGTCATTTGTAGCTTGCATCTTTACTGACGATCTAGTTGACATCATTGACTAAAAGAGAGCAATTTTATTCATTAGTATCAATAATCACTTGACCAACAATGGATGATAAATTACGATAAGAGTATTGGTTTGATGAACATGAACTATGTAGATCAATACATTCGATACAGTTTGAACAAACTTACAAAAAGAACATGATACCATACTATTGAAAAAAATAGCACCACTCCAATATAGAGCATATTCAACAGACAATGACAGTCATTAGTCACAACTGTGACAATACTTCAATATCCTTTCTCGCCCACAATTTGCAAGAATTATCATCATTAGTCATAGTTAACTGGCAATAACATGGATAGAACATCAATATTCATCATTCTTATGGACTACAGTAAACTATACATATATAGACTGAATGGTAAATTTCATCCATTTGCGTACGTTGCGTTCCTGCAACTAGCAATCTTTCTATCGGTTCATATCGTCTACTACAAGAGAGCAATTTCACTGATTAAGAACGAAAAATTGGACGATACGTAACCATTTTTGCCTAGAATTTGCAATACAGGATTGACGCACTATTCAATGGACGTAAAACTTAAACTTAACAAGGATATGCTAAACCTTATAATGTCGATAAATTAATCATGCCATAATATGTATATTACTCATGGTCCAAATCGATACTAAAAGGAGATGAATATCAAGCCAGTTTCATTCAACTAGGAAAGACACAACATGATGTACCGTCAACTATCCTCCAATATCCAAAATGTTGCCTTATACTGAGACATTGACACATTTTAAAATAGGACACTTATTTTTATACCTTGAATTCATTAATATACACGTATATTCGACAATATTTACAAATGGTCTATCACACAGTATTTTGATACTTTTTAATTAATACACTCCTTATCATAGACTAATAATACTACTTTTAAACATCCTCCAAGGCATGCTACGTTACTCGTAAATATTTATCAATAATTATTAAAGCTATCTACACGATAGAAATCCAGTTCATCCTATACCGTTGTATAGCTAACCAATACGAAAGTACCTTGATGTAAATTATAGCGTCAAACACATAAAATAATCAGACAATCATGTCTTCCCCACCTAACTCCTACAAGAAATACTGCAATCATCTATTCAACGGTTAAACTAAGTTTTAATTATACATTTTCCTATCAATTCTAGATTATGGCTATTTTGAGACATCTTCGGAATCACAGACTCCTTACCAGATTAGACGGATTAAAGAATTTATCAAGGTAAAATCGTAGATGGAAATAATGAGGAGAATCGTTAATTTAATACCTTTTTGTCTTTCCAACGTTTATCTTACCAATAAAGTATCATCAAGACTTTCAAGTATCACTACTTTTAATATATCTGTATATTAATAAATTGATATTGCTTAGTAATTAGTGAAACAAGGCTACTATCGTCTTTGGTATTTTTTTAACAACGGTGCTATACCACGACACTAGTCTGTATAATACTGTAATTTCAGCCTGAAACAAAATACCAAGTGAAAACTCACTATTTATATCTCATACCGTCTTCACATTATTTGGAAATAATTAAAACACAGCTACCTGATGGTAACTTTGAAGTTAGAGCTTTATGCTACTATCGACGTCGCGATCTACCTCAAGCTTTACACGCTCTTGCAGATAGAAGTATAGGTAATTTAATACCAATAAGATCATTGGTCATTGCTTTGCTCGATATTACCGGTTTTCATGAAAATAACCGTGAATCAATTCAACCGTTAATGTCTTATAAAATATGTTATCTACATTTACCTGATTCTATTATAGCCACGAACTATCAATTAAGGCAAGACAACAATCCTGAAATGACTGATGAAACTGCTTTAACTGAATTCAAGCATCGTGAAGTATTTCTATCGCGCCATATAGAATCACTACCTACTAGCTGTATCCGTGGGAAATGTACAGTTAGACTTTTAAGTGAAGTAGAAACCATCGACAATTATTTAAAGGAGCCTGTAAGTGTTACTATCTTATCAATCTGATTATTAATATTTTTTTTATCGAATCTTTAATTAAAAGAGAAAGACACAATAGATAAATTCGCATAAATTGTTCTATAGATAAAAAGTGTAGAGATAACACCTTGCAAGCTTTTTATTACTGTAAGCGATACAGCAGCAACAACAATACAATCTTGCGATTTGCACTGCCTTGATTAGGTACAAGGATAGTATATTTATAACAGATCTGTAGCGATCTTAGACAGAAAGTTATTATTTTATTTGGAAAGATATATACAAAGGGAAAATGGATTAAGCAATCTACATCTGAAACGATATTTAAAAAAAATCTACTAAATGGGGGCGATCATAAATAATTAATTTAAGATCTTTTGTCTTGTTACTAGGATACTTTCTATTACACTTTAATATTTGATCCACAACTAAAAACGCTTGTACCTGATCAAGCCAATATTCGTATTGGTTCTGATTATCAAGCTGTTGTTCCAATGGATACTACAGAAGGTATTGTTAGCAGAGATATCATACTCTTATTGAAAACTTTAACCTAACTTTATTTTCGCAACGTGTCATCATTAGTGGATCATACTATTTGCGAAGATGTCGAAACACTACAATGGACTTCTAACAATTTATTGACTGACGAAGAAATTGACCAGTTCGGATTGGTTACAAAGTGAGCATTAAAATAACATCGAATAGTTCTAGATAGTATTTCGATTTACTATCCAATAAAAATTTATTACAACTACAGATCCGTTGGAACATTTGCACGTGCATTAGAGCAGAGCACTTCTATTACCCAGCCAAGTTTACACATTACAGCTGCTGCTGCCTGTCGTGATACGACACGGGTTAGTCTTGTAACCATAAATATTATTATTATCTCTAAAATTGGATGTTGTTTAATTCTTAATGCGTTGCATAAATTATTTAATTTATAAAACTATAGCTATTTGCAATGAAAACTTTACATGAGAATTCCTACGATATAGCCAAAGCTACTTCATCATTAGTACCTGCCACTGGGCCAGTCTATTGCATGGATGAAATGGAACAATGGTCAATTGGTAACAATTTATTTTGTAGTGACTTTACAAAACTTTGCCATTTCGTACTTCGATGCTTCTAATACACAGTATTATTTCATGCTAAGATGAAGCAAAACGCTTCGAGGAAGGATTGCATAAATACGGAAAGGATTTTCTAGATCTTCAACAAGAATTTGTATGCAAGTTTTCCTTTTATAATATTTCTCATCCACGTTTATTTGAACTTAAATGTATCTATCTCTTTCATAATTATAATATCCACATACGACATATGCGCAGCTACCTTGGAAACCGATTGGATGTATTATCGAGTACTACTACATGTGGAAAACAAGCGATCGTTATCTAGAGCAGGTAATTGAAATCAGATATGCGATAAATTGCTTGTAGAAAAATGGATGCCTCTATTTCGATTCATCATTTTGGATCTTTGTTATAGAAAAGACTGAAAGTACTAACAAAGCAACATAGTGTCAAGCAGATTACCATAACCCCAAGGTACTCTATCCGATTTATAACATTGTTACACAAAGATAGAAATTTAATGTCAAATACTTCCTGTATAAATCTATTGTTTTCAAAAGATTCGACCTTTACAGAAGTTTATGGAACGTTTCTAATAAAGACATGTAATACTAATTTTTACTTCATTATCTTAAAATTATACCGAAAAATTTTGCACTGAAATGGCAGAGAATCTAGATCTGAAAATACTACCGCTAATTCGAAAAAAGTGGCTATTATGAACGGAAATGGCCCGGATTCGCGGGTACAAGATTGGTTAAACCAGTTCCAAAACTGTATCAATTGCTCGATAACATCTTCAACTTCTTGGCATACATGGAATGTTGCTAATTCAAATTGTAAATTATGTTCTAATTGTTGGTGGTACTGGAAGAAATTTGGATGTTTTAAAATAATTCCTAAAGGTGATATTCACAAATTTCCGTTAATAATGTTTACAGTAAAGTGGAAAGTTATAATTTGGACTAATTTTATTGTAAACTTGAATTACTTTGGTAGAGGCTGAAACTAATCCAGTTAACAGTAGCGATCCGACTACTTGCGCTGGCGTTACCTCCAATTCCACAACAAGTACAGGCATAACTACTCGATCAACCATAAGCTTAGAAACTGGAGATTGTTATAGACGTAAAGAATGTGGAAAAATCTACTTGAATCAAGGTAAACGCAATTAACTAATGGATTAAAATATTTGTTTAAGCTTGATATTTTTATTGATACGAGTACATAAATATCACAACATCTGTAAACATGACAAATCGTTAACTTAGAGGAACATGCAAATCATCAAGCATTACATCGGCCATTCGAGTGCACTGTTGCTGATTGTACAAAGGTATTAAAATTCCTACATCGTTTCCCATTTTACAAAGTAACGTCAAAATTTACACCCTTATTCAATGATTTATTTAGGTTTTTAAAAGTAAACACTGCTTGAATCGTCACTTATCCTTAACTCATGATATGGTACCGCCAGTAAAAAAAATTTCCAAGGCATCACAACTACGACCTAAGGTCGAATTTTCGATGCGTTCGACGTTAGCTACAAAAATAGCTAGAAGATTGTATAAACAGTTAAAGACTATTAAACATATGGCCAGAAAGCCACTAGATGCTATTGACATCACCGCAATTCAAACACTTTGTAAGGGCTATAAATTCGTCCTTGTTAGAATAATGCTGGGAAATAAAATCATTACTGATATTAGCATATTTCAAATTAATAACCTGCTCAGATTTAAAAATTGGAACTATACCGTACCAAAGATTTGTTATTCCTCAAAAAAATCGCCCCTCGATAGCCGATGTTGTAAAAAAGTTAAGCCGGGTTGAAAAAAATCTAGATACATCAGTAGGTCAAATTGCAGAAAACGAGAGCGATGATCATGCGCTCGAAGATAATCAGCCTGGAACCGATAGAGTGGTTGATTCCAATCCAGAGAACAACAGGAGCAAAGCTGTGTATTCAGGTTTGTTATCACTTAGATAGGACTATCACTGATTAAATCTATGCATATTACATGGTATCATAACATAAAACGATAGTTCTGAAATCAAACTAATGGCTTGCAATTCAACTAGATGATGAAGATAAAGGTACAAGGACAACTGTGAATTCATCTAAAGATACAACTAGAACATCTACTGTCGAAAGAAAAAGCCCTCAGCGGCCATCTAGATCACGTCATACTCCTGTTGTTACCACTCCTAGGAGGAACGGTAAGTATTCTCATCTACCAGCCACTGTACGGACAATGAGACACATTATGGACCAAGCACGCAAAACTACGCCAAGAAGGCCCAAAAATCAACAATTTCTGGTATCACTCGAGGATTACCACTTACGCGCGACACCGTATCTAAAGTTCGTAAATATTTACCTTTGCTTCTCTTTTTATAAATTAGCTTATACTTTGACATATTTTACGAAATAATTGTAATTACATCCTGTAAAGGTACGTATGTTACTATTTCTTAGACGATTAAGAAACAATTTTACGCGAACATGTTTGAGAAGATGCTGCCGGAAGCCATTCAAGGAAGCTAAATTAGTCCTTAAATTACAAACTTGAACCGTATACCATGTAATTTTATAAACTATCAATGGAATACGTACTCTTATTTATGCGTTGTTTGTGTACAATCATAGACTTTCACTATATTTGCAAAATGTATTCTACTGTAATTAGAGGAGTAGCTATATATTCGAGATTTAAATGTTTTAAATTAATTAATTTTATTCATTATACTATTTATTATAATAATTTCATCCACAAGGCGACCTTGTTATCTATAGCATTTGTTGCGATTATAAACTCCCGATTCTGCCTTAAATATGAATGAAGATCAGATCATCCAGCAGTACATTAGAAAGGTTATTATGTTGTACAGCAACATTACTAAAATTTATAATAACTATTATTATAATAATACAACACAGAAACCTTCAATCCTCGAGGTTGTCGTTTGGTATTGCATATCAATCAAGACTCAGATACGATAAAAATCATTTAACTGTAATTTGAAAGACAATCTTCTAATTCAGATCATCGATACATAAAAATATTATTTTATATCTTTCGCAGGAAATAACGTATTAAATGATATCGATACAGGCTAATGACAACTTACTAATGGATATAAGAACTCATCACACCTAGAATCCCTGAACTAGCATTTTATCTAATGGATTACTGTTGATATATCCTTTGTCGTTTATGTGTTGTATTCAATAAAGAAATGAAGGTTGTTAATATTGCAGCATTTCTGCAAAAAAAGTTCAGACGAATTAGAACCTCGAACGAAGATCAATACTGTAGTCATACCCTTCGCTGTAATATCCTTGTCGGTTACGTGTATACAATACATGATTTACAAGTTATACGAGTATACATTTTATTTCATGTAATATCGAGAAGTACATCAGATTTATAGTACAAAAAAATTTTATTTTAAATAACGCCGTGGGAACTGTACACTAAAACAAAATACTCATTCACCTTTGACTAGCAAAATTACTAGAGTTATTACCAGCGTTACATCGAACTGGAATATCTCTTTGTGGACCAGTATGCCAAGAGACACTATTTTCATCAATAACGCTTACATCAATATGGACATTATATAGACTTGGCAATGAAAAGTTCAATAGAAATTGTGCACTAAAATAATCATTTTTAGGCTCTACTACTTGTCTTAGGACAATATCCGTAGTCGCCTAGTAAATAAAATGTGAAAATATTTAAGAGCAGTGGTACATAATACTGTAGTAAATTAGAAACCGTAGCCATATCTCGTTCACAAACAGATTTTTAGCTAATATATTTACCTTAAAATAAGCTTCAGTATCACTTAGTGCTTCTTTGACAGTAGCATTTAACGTTAAGCTAATCGATTTTAATCGCCGATGGATTCCTAAAACAATAGATTGAAAATAAAATATTTCCGTATTTCAGAACTAAGGTGAAAATTGCCAATAAATCGTCATAATATGGCAAGATTGGGAGGGTACGTGAACTGGAATAAATCGACGAAAAGATGCTGCATTTTATCAAAGAGTAAAATTTACTAAAGATATACAATTACTAATGGATACCTTGCCTACTACCATGTTGAATAATTCCTTCGACCTTCATTAACAACTGAGTTGGTAAAATTACCAAAATCGGTTCATTGGGATGACGAGCATTAGGTGATACAGCCAGCTTTATAATTTTATGTGATTATATCAAATACAAGTTAGAAAATACAGTGTATAAAATTTATCACATAATATGATATGTACTGTATATTGCATTAAAATTCATTTACTGTGATTTTTGTTGTCTGCTGGCCAACAAAGAAATACGAAGGATAGCGGAAAGGAACCTTCAATAATGTACTTAAAATAGCTCTTACATAGAAACCATGCTAAAAAATTTACAAGTAAATTCCGAGTTAGAATAGGTTTCAAAAACGATGCTCTAAAAACAATAGTGTAAACATAATGAAAACTTGTAAAATCTTGCAACGTACACTTTGGTTAAAATTTTGGCCTTTACATTTCTCTGCAAATTCGGCAATTCTATCCGTAACCTCTTTATGAAACTTATTCATATTCGGATATCGACAGATATTTACGTCCGCCAAGTTAAGTGTAACATCCTGATTTAGTAACCCTTCAGATGTTACCCTGCAATAGATTAAAAAATAAGATTACCCATGTCACTAGTGTAGGCTAAAAATGTAAAATTTTATTACGTAAAAATTATCTTAAATGCATATTTACCTAACACTGTTAGCAGTTAGTAATTCTATACAATAAGCCATTAGTAGGCAACTTTGTTGAAACCTGATTACAATTTGATACACACATTTGAGGCACACCAATCAGTAAATAGATCAAGTATTTTAAATTTTTGGAAAGCAAACAATCAATCCAATTTGCAATTCAACGCAATTCAACGCACATTTTAAGATTATCCAACGAATTTAAATCTGCATCAAATGATTGATTATACAAAATTTCAAGATCTTCACTTATAGTCCGAAATGTTCGTGCGTAAGCTCCCCACTTCAAGCATAAAATGGAAGCAATAATTGGTGCAATTAATTTAATAGTTCTGACAAACAGTATTCTACGTCAATATATATTGTTACTAACTTGTGGAAGATTTACAATATTGGTAGTAGATGTGGAATATACAGTTGTATTCATAGCTGAGCAAAAACTACTTAATGTCATTCCAACTTGTAAAAAATCCGCTCTGAGCTTTGCAAATTTGCATTGGAAAGTCAAGCTATGCTTCGGAGTAACAGAAGCCTGTTAAATAAAATGTAGCATTTATCAATAATCAAAAGTAATGATAACAATTGATGTCTATAAGAAGTTACAAAAAGATGTCACTTTATGCTTTATGATTGTAAGATCTATGAACCTTCAATGCTGTGAGTCCTTTATGATAAGCATTACATGCGTCCATAAGGCATAACGATAAATCAGTTGATCGGTTATCTTCGAAAAGAAACGACGCTATCCGATTTTCAGCATGACAAAAGTGATGTAATGCCGTTAAGTAGAAGTAGTAACTTTCGGATGACACCTGTAAGGAAAGATTGAACCATTAATATACAGATATAAATAACTTATTATCAGGACATAATCATAATTACTACCTTAATCGTTAATTGCTTGAATAGTGGAGAGGCGACCGAGAAGAATCCAACCTGAGCGCTAGAACGAGCAATACAAAAGACACTCCAGTAATTACCGTTTGCTTTTAATACATCGATAAAAGGGGCGAGAAGGCTAAACATTTGTAGATTATTTTCATCATCTACATGAGGAATGCCATACGATAGTAGCGTCACTATCGCCACCTAATAAAATAAAAGTTACCAATTAAACCACCGAAAAGAACAGGATAGAGTAATAAAGTCATTAAACAAGCAGTGGTTCACTTACTATTGTACTGTTGCTATTATCTTGAGATTCCGAAAGATTTTGTGATGTATTCGATAGCTTTTGAAGAATTACTTTTATTGCTTCGAACAACTGAGAATTGGCTCCGATTATTTTCAGTATATTACATAACATTACACCGATGGATACTATCAGAGACGATAAAAAATTATTATTGCACAGATATGATACATTTATGAGTTCGATAACAATTTAAATTCTACGCTAAGTGTATAAAGTTGAAGCTTTAGCTACCGTCAACATTAGGAATTATTGCAGAAACCAATTGTATGAGTGAATTTCTAGCTGGAGTATAAACTTGGATGATATTCTTGATACAACGAAAACATAGCTAGACAACAAATAAGACAAATGTTTTTTAACTAAGGAACTAATAGAAAATAAAATTTTACGTACACTGCATAATATTAATAACTATATACCTTTTCAATTTCTTTGTGAACTTTTTTCGACGTTGCATAACTAATTAACAACATTTCTATGCCAACTTCAAGTTGTTGATAAAACTCCGTAGCATCCGTTGCGGTACACTTGCGCTCTTTATAGAACAAAATTTTAAGAAGTTAAGGTCTTAATAAATCAATGAATATATGAACACAAATGCCTCTGATCTATTCTACCATAAACAATTTTTATACATGTATCAAATTTTATATACTTTTATTTGTATTACCATAATGATCTGAATTAGCAACAGAGGAACAAAAGTCTAACGTTAATGCGGCAAAGGCTAAATTCGCGTGTAACCCAAATCGTTCGAAAACTTTGACAATGTCTATAATAATAAATAGTCTTACGTTGATAAATTTTTACAATACCCAGTGAATTTCGCAACTCATGTTAATATTAATCATTTTGGAATTTTTTACACAATTAAACTTCTATCACATACCTTCGCATTCTGCCATGCATTTTACCGCTACAGAATGAGCCAGTATCACTAAGGTTCGCAAAATAAGTATTTGAATCTCTTGCTGAGGAAAGGATAGAAGGATCTCACATAATCCCTATCCAAGCGTGATAATGATATTGTAACAAAATAACGTTATAGGCTTAACTATAGCATCAAAAAACTCTATGTTTTAAATACTAATCATTATGGTACCTAATATCTTTCATGAACAAAGACTGCCAAAGCTAATGCTATAATAAAGTTAATTAACCTGAATATCTTCCTTATTCCACATATGAGGCACTTTTCTAGCAAATAATCTTAAATCTTGAATAGCTATTCTACGAATCTCTAATCTTTGATCCGATTTTAAGTAATTCAATAAGAAGGAAATCTAGAGACAAAGTAATATATAAGAAACGAATAGAAATCAATATAATGCTGTAATTTGAGTAGGGCATTGGTGTCAACTGTAAAATCAATATCAATAAAGCGTATACGTATGTAGCATACCTGATGAGAAATGTCTAATACTGATTTAATAGATAGTAAAGATAAAACGTGGAGAGTAATCTTTACAAAATTGGAGCCAGGATACGCAATTAAAAGCGTGTGACACAACTGACGCGCCTATTGCAATAAACATGAATGTCAAAACACAACACAACACAACATGTATGGAAGATGGGAATATTACCAGACACTTGATATCAACATTTACCTTGGATATCGATTCTTCATCGTGATGCATGTAACGTAGTATGCGAATCATTTTTATTTTCACTTCTATGGATGTGCCCATTCCTAAATAAAAAATTACAATTTTGAACTATTTCTTATTCAACATAAAAATTTGATTAACTAGCTATTAAAGCGCTTTCAATATATCTCTCGCAATGAGTTAAGCAACATTAATAAATACTAATCTAGTAGCTATTTTTTAGGTTTATTGATCTGTTTCCTTACCTTGGATCATATTTGCGATTTTACTACAGATTGCGGAAGCAAAAGTCCTGCATTGAATCAAGTAATATTTCAAAATTGCGGTCAATAAGCAAGAAACAGAAACACTTTTTAACTTTACACAATAAGATACAAAATAGGTATTGTATTTAGTTGACTTACGCCGATTCTGCACTAAGTCGGTAAGAAGCGAGAATAGCACCTTCCAATTCAATATGGTCGTGAGAGTCTAGGCTATGTTGTATGCTATCAATACGACAATTTATGCCTTACTTAGAAGCAATCTGAGTAACTATAACATGATTTGATTAAAAAGAAAATATCTACAATAGAGCTATCCTATAGAGCCTACCTATGGTGAATATTCTTGTGCTCGGCGATAATGGAAGCAATATTTCCAAACACTCTAAAATTTTATATCAAATATAGCAGTATTACTTTAGACTAAATTATTATGTAAAAATTATCGTCATTGCAGTGATTTATTAGCAAGTATCAATGATCAATTCAACTAAGGTATTTTTAATGGTAAAAAATGTCAATTTAGCACTTTATACTGTATTATCTTGTATAAATTACATTGTATAACAAGTACACATCAATTACTTGTGCAACAATCATTAAGGTTAAGATATACGTACTATACAATCGTACATGCATTATTCAATTAATGAAAGGCTGAAGAAAATATAAAAATCATTTTGGCTATGAAGAATAAAAGAATATTATTTCTTGACTGTACTCATTTACTGCATACTATATTTAATTATCCACTTTGATATCGGTAACTAGATTGCTAATATTAAAAACACTTTTAAGTCAAGCAATAAAGTTAGGCTATAAAAATATAAAATCATAACTTTCTTACAATCCATGTTTAAAGTGACTGACGCCTTTACTACCTTCATGTATAGAAATGGTAGTAGTGGCTCCATCAATCAATTATTTATCCAATATACTCGTATGAGCTTATATCAAGGCAATTTTTAAACTACAATAGCGTATCATGAATTAGTTGTACTACGTTGCCGTACCTTAAAGTGATTGCTCTTGCAACAGGATCATTACTTAACATGACAGAATATAAACGTCGAACACAATCTTCAACATTTAAAATCTTTCCTAAATGTTTTCGACTGTCTTTAGTAACTTGTAAAATGCAAAGGCGTAGAAAATTACTCCTGTAACAAATAATTATTGCAAGTATTATTTTTCAATCTTACAATTTCACAAATTTAGATTTTGTTTAATCTCCAGTTAATTTTTACAACGTAGTATGCTTATTTTCCGTTCTAATTATCGGCACAAATTACCTAGTATTTATAACTCAATCAAGTAACAAAGTTCTAACGACAAAATACAATATAAAAAATGTACAGCTCTACGCCTATTCAGTTCACAAATATGATAACAGGTACTGATCTTGTACTGATGATAAACGTATAAAAGATAAATAATAACAATTAAGGTATAGTACGTACAGCAGCTAATATACTATTGCGATAATAGCAAGAAGTAAGCTCGATATTCATAACGGTAAAAGACAATGTTAAAAATTGAAATAGTAAATATATATCGACACGCATGACAAGAGAGGTTACATTTTCTATCATCATCGTACCCTGAATAAAATAAATCGGTTAATTTCATAAACGCCGAATTGACGAGGATAGGAAAAGGAAACTTTTCAAACAATTTCGGAAAGCGAACAATCGCTTCACATTGTTCACCAATATTGGATGAGCGAAGGCCTATTAAAAAGTCAAAATATAAAATTATCCTATTAAGTTGATTGAAATAGACTGTGATCTCAATAGCAATGATATGGCAAGTCATGATAGCGTACGAATCATGCGATGTGTTGATGCACTTTAGTCACCACTCAATCTACAGTAAGGCAAGAGGTAACAGTGACTCATGTTTCTAAAGATATTTCAATTCTTTTAAAGGTGAACTATAGATAGTTATTTGCATAGGTTGAAGGGATTTTGTTACAAGATATCAGTAAGGAAATGCTCTTGTAAATTGTATGGTGAATTATTGCATATAACTCGTTGGACGTTGACTTTTATCGAGCTGGATTTCATGATCAAGTATGAACAGCAGGAATCAGGCAATGGTTCTCCATTCATCTTCATCACCGTCAACGATGGCTGTATCCATTGTGAATCGTGTTTGCATGAAAAGTTACTTCTTTACACCGCCATAGCCAGCGTTTCATTGCAAGTTGATGGAGTAATCCATACGTCAAAGATGAGCATGCAATGCAAACGGGATTCATTTGCATGGCCTCAAGAACAATTGTGCCCAAGGAGGCGAGTAATATTACAACAGTACGAAAGGTCATTTCCTTCCTTGGAAATAACAGCATACTTATGGCTTAGCGGCAAGAATTAATCTACGATTAGTGTTATCCAACTTACCCTTTTCTAGTTCAATCATGGCAGAATTTGCATCTCGCCAATCATGCTGATGAGTAAACGATCCATCCCAATCCACTCCACCGGTAGCCATAGTGAAAGGTGCCAAGGAAGGTTCTACGCTACGGCTCCTTATTATCACAACAAGTTGTGTCTACGCTTGCGCGATCCGAAGCTTGGAACTTACCCCTGACTCAAGTCACTTCCACTACCCGTACAGCACCAGCTGAATGATGGGATAGACCGAGTCCAGTGTTGTGATCGAGAGGTTTTTTTCCAACATGGAGTCACATTGTACCGTACGGTCGGACCGACTGACTGACTGACTGTCATTCGTGCAGTTCTACGCAGGTACGTTGGCCAAGCGAGTTAGGCACAGTACCATGTACGGTTTCAGTCTTGCGATAGAGGGAAATGACCGGCAAAATAATCGACCACTCTTTTCTATGAATCAAAATCTCAGCGGTCCGTCTGTCTTACCATGCACAGTTTCAGTCTTGCGATAGAGCAAAATGACCGGTAAAATAATAGGCTACTCCTTTTTTTGAATCAAAAATCATACTCTATTAACCTAAAATAGCACTCTATTCCGTGGAATTTCTGTGGGTTTCGCTAGTTAATTTATAGTTGGAAAAAAAATGGATCTCATATTTAGAATGGACAGTTTGCATACTGAAGTGCTGTAAGTACATTCTTCATTAAGATGGAAAGCATTCAACAATCAACTATAGGATTGTATGGGACCAAGAGGATTGTATGGGGCACTACTGTGTAGTGGTACAGTACAGTACAGTACAGTACAGTACTGTAAGGATTGTACTGTACAGCCTAGAGTATACTGTACAGTACTGTACAGTAGGCACTCTACAGTGTACAGTGTACAGTACAACGCTGTATCCATCGCGGCACTCTCAGCCAATCAGCTCCTTCCTTTCTATTGCGCGGCAATTTCTGCCGCGAAATTTTAAAAGTGGATGATGACCATCCTACGCCACATGCATACAATGGATAGTATCATTACTGAGACATTACAACAGTCAACAGGCTACAGTACAGCAAGGTAGGCATGGATTAGCGGAATGCCATCATTTCCGTGGCAAACTCTTCATCGTCGACATCGCTACTCGACATCCATTGCAAGCTACTGTGCTAAACGAATGGCTATTCGCCTGCAATAGACAGCATTCATCGATTCATGACTAAGAATTGACTACTGCACAATCTCAAGTGATCACAAGGACAAAATTGTCAATTATTGCAGAACGACGTGCCCGATAATAACCAACAATAACAATTGCAAGATCATTAATTTATTAAATTATTACTTCTCTGCACCGTCTGCCAAGTACGCTAAACGATCTGGATCATCTGATTGAGAGACTGTACGTACTTTCGATCGAAGCAACCATTCCTAGCTTTCCTCATGGTAGACTTGCAGGTAATAAGATGACGTTGCTTTTTTCAATCGGAGTTTCAAGACCTATCCATTGCGATATTAACATCAAGGCATCCATTGGATGCTACATCTTTCTCTACCATCATTTTGAATCTAGTTCCTTTAATACCTCAACATGTTAGCTGCTTTAACCCAATATCGACAAAGTAGAGGAAAGCATGAATACCAGCTAGGTACGGCCATATTGACATGCATTCATCATGCAATGACACTTGCCAATAGTTGGAGAGTAATTTCACAATGATCAAATCATGGTGGAAAGTCTACCTGATACGTATACGAATGAATGTACAGTACAGTACAGTAGAAGGCTAAAAGATTTCCTTCGTAGGTGAAAAACACCTAAAGTGAAATTGGATTATAATCATTCAAATAACTTAAATGTAGCAATAAAGTATACAGAAACATTGCATCACTTGTAACTCATTGAAATCGATATTATAGACATGTTCAACTCATCCTCTGTATTTAACTTTTCAATAACAGCTTCTCAAATTCAGTCAATCATCATCAATCAATTCGTATCAACTCGTGCTGATGAACATGTCGCTCTTGAAGTAGATGGCCTGGTAAGTTTATCAAAATCCAAATCATCTTGTCATGTGGATACTGTAGACTGATGAGTGATGACACAACTAAAAAATAAACACCTCAAATCCACCTATGGATACATACTTTTGCCTAGCTAATTTGCTATATTGGCTAATGTTCAATAGTTTAATACAGTTGGAACGATGCTTTTAAATTGCCTCTAGCTATATACACATATATTTTGAGCGATGCTACTTAAATTGCCTCTAGCTAGCTTCGAATGCTGACGTACCTGTATATTGCTTTCTTATGATATACCTAGACTCCGGTGCCCCCCTTTTCATGCAAATTTTGTCCTGGTAATATTCTTGAATCATGCATGATAACGTCTCATTAGCTAATTCAGACAGTATCTTATTTACTATGTATCCAACTTCAATAAACTTGGTTTGATATCATTTATTACAGCCAGAAATTCTTCGCATGTATTAGCTATCGCCGATGAAGGTGGTTCGGTCCAGTTAGTTAATTACAATCGATCTGCTGTGGTTAAAGGTATGTTTAAATAAGGACTGTTGTAATCAGTATTTAACATTTCCCGATCATCCCAGGATTACGTATCGATTGTATGATAAAGTACAAACGAGCAAACAGTGAAAATACTGTAACTACGTACAATTATGGTATGATAATTTAAAACTTTTAATACTTATCGCTACTTGCAATTGCATTTTCATCAGAATGGAATGCCCATGCCAACGCAATCTTTGACATAGCATGGCGTAGTGATGGCGATAAGTTGGTAATGCATAAATTATCGGAAGTAACTGTTAGACACTTTTTGTTAAACTACTGTAACTCAAAAGCTCAATCCTCGTATTTAGCTAACTGGATCGGGAGATGGAACTGTAATTGAATGGGATACATGTAAAAATATCAATTTGGCAGCCTATGCGGGACACAAAGGGAGCGTTAAATGCATCGATATACAACCTGATGATACAGGTATGGAGAGCAAAGCAATGTTCTGATAACATGTATTGTTGATATAACTATCACTTTCCCTATATGAACATCACTACTATGGCTCTTAGGTGTGTTTGCTACTGGTTCTCGAGATGGAAGTATCATGATTTGGGATCCTCGATGTAATAAAGCCGGTAAATGATTAGTGTTACGTCAGTTGTTAGTGTTAGCATAGGTAATAAATTGCTTTCACCACAGTAAGATTCCCTCTATCAATAAACTGAATAATTTAAAAGGATAGCAATCAATTTTTACCTTCACGTTATAATATGCCAATTTATCAACGCAATGTTAAGAAATTTCTCTTAGTGACTTTGTAATTGATTATAATAATAGCATTAGATGTGGCTTCTCCTTCAATACACTAAACTGCATGCTTAAATTTATCACCAAAAATTCGTACTGCCAAACTTTGAAATACACTAATAATTTTATAGGTGGTCTTTATAAGCCTGTGAATATGATACAAAATGCACATGGAATTAATCCTCATAAAAAGATATTCCGGAAAGATGCTTCTACATTTACTGCAAACGTACGTCCATGAGCTGTGCATTCATATTAATATAATTTAGAAGTCTATGATGTGTTAACGGCATAAAACTTCTAACTTGTCCATCTATAATCGTCTTAATACTAATTAATAATAGTGCAACATTTCTTTTTTATTAATAATCAATTTATTCTTTAGAGTGTAACCTGCATTGTTTATCATGGTTCTCATACTATACTATCGGCTGGAGCGACTGATGGGTAAACTATAATTTAGACACGTTCAACTGATAAATTTTTGCATTAGTTTGAGCAATCGAGTGGTGCTAATTAGAATTTTTGTTAAATGAACGATTGCTAACGAAAGAAAATTAAAAGAATGGGATATTCGTCGATGCTACAGCAGTCCTAAATCAATTTCAAAGCCATTATCTGAAATTTTTTATAGCGGTAATAGCCCTCGAGCTCGCGGTAAATATAATAGCTCATAAAGGTTATTTGATCTTTGCAGAACAGATCAACTTAAATTAATCCCTTGACTTCTGCTTTATTAGGATTCACATCTCTTGTCATAGACTCAACCCGATCGAATTTATTTGCCAGTTGTACCGATAATAGGTACTGTTCAAGTAGCACAGCAAGTAATTATAAAACCTAACAATGACAACCCTTTGTATTTTTAGAATTTACAAGTATAACTTGCATTCTACCACAATCAAGCCATCTGCTGTATATTCTGGGCATAGCAATGCTTCCTTCTTTGTTAAGGCTGCATTAAGCCCTGATGATCGTTATCTAATAAGTGGATCATCGTGTACAAATTCTTATATTTGGAAGGTACACTAAGTCTGAAATACTGCATGAAAAAATTAAAATATCATAAAATGGCCACTATATTCTCTTCGATATTGAAATTAGGTTAGCAATCCAACACAAGCGCCTTTGACTTTAATTGGTCATTCTAGCGAAGTTACCTGCGTTGATTGGTGTCCACACGATTTCGGCTTTGTTAGCTCTATTTTAGTGCACATTTGTATACTAAGAGATCAATTTACTTTGTACTCAACATTATTTCTAATTATATTAGATAGCGACGTGTTCCGATGACAACTACAGAATTTGGTAAGTTAATTTATATACTATTAAAATAGCCAACTTCAACATTCAATTTAAAATAACAATAAATGTTAAAAATATTGCTCAACTCATCGTAACACCTGTATGAAAATCATTTTTTGGCCATTATTTATTCCATTATAGGCGCTTACGCAACGACTATGACGTTATAGAGCCTCGTAATTTAATCGGTGTATGTCAGACAGCAGCTGAAACTACAACGTCTGAAAAATCTAGTGTACAGAACAACGGTATGCTAATGCATACCCAAAGACAAATTTTTAATTATCAATGTATTGTGGCAGTATCATCTTCTAAATCTATTTTCTTATTAAGTGGAGACAAATTCACGTTTTCAAATATCTACAACGTAATCTATCATTAATTAATATCAGCAAAATAAATAGCAAGGCGTAGTTGTAATCCCTTACATTAAGTAATAATCGTAACAATACTATAATTGATAAGTATAGATTAAAACCTTATTCTTTTATCCACTACAGATCGTATAAATATCTTAGATCCCATCGAAAACAGAAATAGTTCGCCAACCATCAGTGAAAAGAAAGTAGTTCAACAACAACTAAACTTATCACCTGTTTGTATTACCCACCAAGGCAACAAGAGACCATCGGGTGTGTTGACGAAAGGCATAGGAAACTGTTTGAATTCTAAAGATACCAATTTAAATACTACACCGCGAAAGAAGCTCAAATACGAAATGAAAAAGCATCATAAAGCAAAAAATATAGCCAGCCAAACCCACTTGGATAATTCAACATCGAAGCAAATGAGTATTGAAAGTTATTTTAAATAGACATCTTTATGAAACTGTGCCTGACCTGGTTGAATATTTGTATAATTTAGTATATTAATTACTGTTAATAAGCGTATATATTGACCATCCTGTAAACTATTTTAACACTGAAGTGACGATAAATTGATACTATACTTTTATCTACCAAAATTTTACGATAAAAGTAACTAATAAATACAATGAATGTGTAAATAGGCTAAAATCTTACTTAAAACAATCAATCATCTCCAAACGTTAATATAAGAAATAATCTTTATCTTATGCGAAAGCTAATATTGTACCGAAACTCGAGCACGTTTAGGGTTGCAAGCGCTCATATTCTTTATATATGTTGGACCAACTTTCAAACATGTACAGTAAACTATTCATTTAATTTAAAGCAAATAATAAAAATAGTTCCTTAAATTTAATATTCGAATCTTTATTGATAAAACAATCAAACAATATCACAGCAGTAATAAATACCATGGTTAATACGAAAAGGATCGCACGTGAAGCCAATATGTAAACTAATGAACATAAAACATGATATAGATCTTTGCAATTACAGTTATCATGGATCAGGAACCATATTGAAAAATTTTGTACATGAAATCCCAAACAATGAATACAGTACTATATTCCCACCATTTCAATACTAAAAGTAGGTACATTCGTCCTCTAATTATATAGGAAAAGAAAAATATTTTAGAATAACCCACGTAGGATATTTAGGTAGAAAGGCAGTATAAGGAATCTTGTAAACTTACCATTATCAGAATCCGATGGACCCCAAATACGTACAGTACCGTCATCACTAGCCGAAGCAATCATGTTTACATCATTGGAATTCCAACTAACACAATTTACTGTCTTAGTATGGCCGGATAACACAGCTACAGGTGACTCATGCCTTACATGAAATATGTAAACTTCATGATCTAGACAAGTCAAGTATTACACATAATTAAGCAGAAAAATCAATTAAGATGTACAAAAATAAGTGATTGCAATACCTTCACTACCACTGGCCACAAAACTATCGTCTATTCCTCCAAAGCAGGAAAATATTGCATCATTTCCCTGCTTTACACCTCTAAATTTACGAACTAGACAACTAGTCTTGATATCCCATAAATGTAGCCCCTTTAAAGATGCAGAAGATTTCGAAATTTGAATAAAATTACTGAGCAAAGTTATACTATAAAAATAAACAAGCTGATTCATACTACCTCGTACTGCATACCAGTCTTGATATATTTATTCTTAAATACTCAATCTTACCTGACCAGACATGTTTAATACGACATAGCGTCCACTTTTACATTGGTCAAACGACATTATAGGATGATCTTCCTGTAATCTATGCCGATGAAATTTATTTTTAAAATTAATTGGTTATCTTATGTAACATTAGAAGATACTCAATAAGTTATATAACTTACATAAATCGATCTGTTTTATCTGCAAAATTATACGATTTAATACGCATATGGGTATCCGCGGCAAGTACAGTTTTACCATCTTTATGGCATCGAAGGCCTTGTACACGAACCCCATCCCACGATTTAAGCACAGTCCCTTCTAAATTCTGCACCCAACAACATACAATTAGAAAGTAGAAATTACCACAATGCTGCAATCAGATATCATTTACATGATCAAGATTGTAGCCATCTCGCAAACAGATAGTTAAATTATACATACACATTCATAAAATTGGCCCTTCGGACCAGCTACTACAAATTTTTGACCATCTTTTGTCCAATCACCCAACATTAATTGGTCTTCTGAATAATTGTGTACCCTACACTGGACTTCACCGGTCTAAGAGTAGAATAAAAGTTGTATACCATATTAGTACAGTGATCCTTAGATTTCATATCAACACCGATGACAACATCAATCGATATATTATGAACTTAAATATCAACCAACCTCAACGTTTAAAACAGTTGCATCTGAAACGCTCTCAGGACCACAAATGAGCAAATATTTATCGTCAGGACTCCATGCCAAGAAACTAACACAGTCAGCACGATCTTTAAATTTTTGCACTTTTTCAAACTTTCCATTCTATGATTGGATTATAACATAAAAGCAACCTAAATTATCCTAGCATTGACCTATAGTATGAAGCTTAATCCAAAATGTGTCACTTACATTTAGCCTCCAAATTATTACACTAGTATCTTTAGATCCAGTAGCTAATTTTTGGCCATCGTGTGAAAACTGAACATACCAAACCTGTTATTTTTGTAGCGATCACAAACAGATAAGTAGATTTTATGATTAGGAATTTTCCGAAGCAAACTAGATTAAACAATATCAACATTTTAGGTTCCATCTTTCTTACTTGGTCACTATGATCAGTTAAAATTTGTTTCGTTATACAAGGTAAATTATGCCTAAAAAATAAATAAATGAGACAAGAATAAGTCATAATATTAACTAGAGTACAGATTAATGACTGATCGATGTCATTAATATATAAGATAAATACCACACCTATTACAAGAGTGGTCAGCCAGTAATGATTCTTCAGTAATCTTAGTGTTATTAATTAAGCATCTCTCTCTATGTAAATCCATCGCTTGTCTTAACAGCATCCGCAATCGATTAGGAGGTAACAGTAATGTTGGCGGAATATAACCTATGATTTTAATACGATAACAAGTACAAAATATATTACTCTGTCTGTGGTAAGGTATAGTAAGGATAATTTAAAATATATTTTCCATATAACACGCAAGATGCATTCTACATGTATCTACCTTGAAGTTTGTCCATAAGCTTTTGTCTCGATAGGGCGCCTTTTCCATCCCAACTGGCTTGTATTCGCAAGTCTTCTTTGTTACTGCACATTATTAACCTTGAAGTATGGCCAATAATATTATTATTAGTACGTAGGATAATTTGTTAAGAATCTCGTAAATTATAATCTTACCGACTTAATTCGTGGACTCTATCAATACTATACTTTAATGAAGTAATTTCATTTCTTAAGCAAATCAATGCATCAATTTCTTTATTATCTTCAATAAGTTCTAAGTATTTTTGTTCCAAAATAAGAAATCTAATTTTCTAAAAAATTGAAAACAAAAAAATTTTTTGCATTTCAATAAAAATCATGGTCTAAGTATAACATTGTACTGAGTGAGATATCGCTAAAATGAAAATCGAAAATGATTATAAAATATCTTTCAATAAATTGAAGCCTGTAAAGTTACCTTTAAATTCTTTTCAGACTTTAGCATAGGTCTAAATTCTGAAAGAAGTGTCTCCGCCTACAGTTTCGTAATACAATGGGTATTTCTTTTTAATATTAATTAATACAGTTTTTAATAGTAATAGTTGTCAAGTTTTTACAAGTATACAGTACTCATGGTTGATTTAAGTGATGATAAAATAGCTACCCTTGAAAGAAACTGCAATCAATTAAAACTCGAAAATAGAAAAGTTACAATTTTACCTTATCCCAATTCCCTTCTAAAACGCACACTTTAAATTTCACAGCTATAGGGTGCTCCAACATGCAGCCTGATTCGAGGACCAATTCTTCAGCAGCACGGCTAAAGTAATAAATTGATTAGCGTAAATTTTGGATATACACAACAAAAGGTTAAATTGCCATTCAACGTCGTGATTGAAATAAACTTCATAAAAACGATATTAAATGAAGTAATAACAAGCAGGTAATGATCGTCATTATCAATTTTTTCAGAAAAAGTACTTACTTTAACCCTAACGAAAGCAAATGCTGACCAATCAGCCTAACTACATCTTGTTCGTCTTGTGAAAGTTTAACAGTCGGTAATAGTGCTTTATCAGAGTTTCCATTAACAACGTCATGAACGCCATTCGAATTTACTGAATTAACCAATTTTGTAGAAGAGGAAATCGACGCTTTCATACGCTCAGCTTCTGATTCTCGAACAGCATCGCTAGATTGCATATCACCTTCGTTATATGAACACCGTGCAGCTGTGAGCTCCAAACAAACTTTTTTGCGTGGCGGCGGAGACAGACCTATTGCAGTCTCGTCGTCAGATGATGCCAGACTTGCGTGAAGTCACTTAAACACTAAATTATAAAATAAAAGAACGCGCGTTCAATTTTTTAATACAAACGCAATTTATCACTTTTCGATATCGAGTCAATCTAATTTAATTAAAGCTCTATCAATTATTTGATAAAGTTGAGAAATTTCATATTTTTGCTAATCCATTGTACGATACTACGACGAACAAGCAATGCTCATCTCTTCAAGTTCTTCATGTCATATGCTGTATATCAAGTTTCAATGCCAGCAAGACTACATCTATAGCATATATAAAAGTGTAAGCGTACATCAAAACTGCCAATTTCAGCCAACGATCTTCAGTATCATGAGTGAAGTAAGAACAAGTATCCTGATACATTTTTGAGGTACTACTAAATTGAATTTAATGATAACATTATCATACAGCACTAGAGATTGGTATCTTGTATAAGGATTCGATTGACTGAGTTATCGTTAATATACACCAGATAGAAAACAGCTTAATCTACCGGCACAATTAAACAGGGTAATCAGTAGGTAGAAACAGTAACGCGAAATAGCTGTATACTATAATATTGTATATTGAGCAGTACAGTAAACCAATATTTAATATACTATCTTGCATGATTCAAGTGTTACCGTCACAGTCTAGCATCTTATTTATCCAACTTTTATTTACAACATTAGATTGCACTACATGATAATTAACATTGATCGAAGAAGTACTCTCAATTAGAAATATATTACTGCAGAGAAATACTCGCTGTACCCAAAACTATAGTTGTATAATGAATGATCTTTATGGACTACTTTATTCCGGGATTGCCATTTATTCCATCTCATATTGGCTATCGTTATAGTATTTCAGAGCGCACCCATATTGATAACATTTCTGCGCTATTTTAAGCATAAAATGATTTTTTTTTTTTGGATAGCCTTAGTTGAGTCTGTCTAATTTAGGTAAATTGAATAATTTTCTTTACATCATCCTTTGCTGCGTTAGAATACCGATAGGAATGATATACGCGTATTTAAGGTATGGTGTTTGATAATACATTATTAGCTTAGTTATTTTATGGGGATATAGGAATAGACTTTGACGTAGAACTGTAAGGAAGTAAAATATTCATTGACTTGATAGCTACAATAACTAGACTTTAAACATAAAAGTTCTATTTGAAGCACTTTGGGGTGCTACGATTGCCGATAGAATTGAAAAAAAAAAAATTCGGAAGCGTTCAATTTTATATGAAAAAAGAACTAAATCATCTAACTTGGCTAACAGACCCCCACATTCTATACCGTCTACCTATACGGTAAAAGTAGATTGATTTACAGTGAGTAAAATCAATAAAAATTTCAGCATAATCTATTTGGTAGTACTGTAATTTCTTCTAAATGACTTTGAGTTATATCTAGTTATATCAAGTAAGTGTATCGTGTCCATTCACACATTACCAAGTATCGAGTTACCCTATAACTCGGCCCAATTTCGCTATCTACTGCACTCTAGCCCTATTGTAGGAAAATTCTTTACTGAACATCAAGTTATTATTACAAGATCAACATTGTGTAAAATATGATGCATAACGATGCAATGTAGTGATGTGTACTCACATTTTGATAACCTGTTATGAGTAGAATTGTACCACGATGAAGATTTATTAATATCGATTTTCACTGTTGGACCACTATTGGTTCTAGCAATCTTCTTACTGTAAATACTGTCTGATCGATAGAAAATCACTACTGGATGCAGGAGATGTTGTACTAGAAACGGCAATCAGTCAAATAGACAACAACAAAACAGCTTAATTTTCCGATGCAAATCCAAACGTCCGTGCGTCCATTTCATGTTTTGTTTAGTTTCTCATCATACGACGTAGAATGAACAATAGACGATCAAGATATTTTGGAATGATTCAACTACAATCTGCTCTGATATGCCTATCTTTATTCCAGACTTGATACATAGTTAGCTAGCTAGGCTATTGGTATAGTAGTAACTACAACAAGATGATGGTTGGATATGAAGAAGGAATGCTAGTAAGACATGACCGATCAAAAATACGAAACAAAAACCGCACCTTTGTTCCCTGTCTATTTTCAAAACAGCTTTTCGTTCATTGATATTTTTGTCTTTACTGTCAACTAGTGTATCAAGATGATTAGCTTGTTATTACAGTTTTAGTATGTAGCAATCATTTATTCTACTATCGCACTATCAAGTCGTGAAATGGTAGAAAAGCTATCCTAATTGATCTTCAAATCCAGGTTATCGAAAATGGAGATGGACTTGTCTATGAACGCCATGATGATTTGTTATTATTATTCTAGTCTGTTACTGCCAGTACAGTCAATTCACACGTCACCGTACGGTACTTTGCTGAGCGTACTGTACACTGTACAGTACAGTACTATTGTAGAGATGGTACGGAAGCCGGCAGGGCCCTTTAATAATAACTTGTATCGAATTATTCGGAGGAAGAAAATTATTATTTGATAAAATTCATTTCATTCTGGTAGAAGAATCTATTCTCAAAGTAGTAATAGTATCACTTTTTAGAAGAATGATAAAAAGAAATCAAACATAACTTGAAAAATAACATGTCCAATGAGTCTTCTGATATAGCGTATATATACTGTACAGTGTCGACGGTCAAGAATTCGATCATTGATGACTACAACCAATGGAAGATACGGCCTACACCACCATGATGGTACGTCATAAACAAAAAAATATGCGATCCTCCAATGATTGCGGCCATTCCTCTTACTGTTTATTTCTTACTCCATGAATAACGCTCAATAGCAGATCATGGCCAGGATACGGCCATGCAACAAACAATCTTCTATTCTATGTAGAACACTACATAAACAGGCTTAACGTTGAGCTTTAATTGACCGGAACGACGAGGACGCTGAACTACTGTAGCACTGTACAGAACAGTCAACGCTATATTGTTCCTTCCATTCCGGTCATCTTCAATAGAGTAAAATGCATCTGTACATACTCCATATCCAATTATCCTGCGTAACATAACGTTGTATGCCTATACTAAAATCTGATCGATATGATGTCCTCAAGAAAAGATACAACGATTGTAGATAGCAAAAAGCGCCTTCAACCTTCTAAACATGCAAGGTGCTAGCACCATATAGGGATGACTAGAGTATTACAACATTAAAATACAGTACGTCATCGATATCGATAGCGGCCGCGGAGCATAACACAACCTCCAATTGTAGGCTTCTTTAAAGCTAGTCATCAACACGCTATGCAAATGACGAACGAAAGAAAAGAACTTACCTAAGATAGAAAAGGTTCAATGAGTTTTTATTGAATTAATGACAGCGAAAACGCAAAGTAAAGCAGACGTTTCTTTTCCAACATATACTGTACGAAGCTGTACCACTTTTCTGACGCAAAATATCCCACGACAATGAATCGGCGTTGGGCTTGTTTGTTTGTTATATACTCGTCCAATGGATCATCCCAGTACAGTCCGTCCAGCGCGTCTGTATAGGGCGTGTACTGTAGACTGGCAGTGTACTGTACACTGTACAGTACAGTATTCGAACTTTGGTCGAAATTTTTGTACTGTACGTACCTTACTGTAGACTACGGTACCGTCACCATTGCCTACAATCTTAGTACAGTAGTCTGCCGACTGTAAGTACTGTACAGTACTGTACTGTACTGGTGTGATTGCCTACAGTACAGTACTGTATCGAGTAGCTGCTACTACAGTACGTACTGTACTGATGGTCAGTCCCACTCCAATGATCATTTTTTGCATTTTAGTTTGACGGAGTCTGTCGATAGGCTGATCGCTTTTCCTTTTCCTTTTTTTCCTCTACCATGATGTAGATATTTTTATACCCCATTTTTTTAGTAGCCTATGACTGTACTTTGATCCCGAGAAGCAGTATAGCACTGTATGGACTGTTGCACTGGATTGTTCACTCAATGTTGAGTTCATACTTGAGCTAAACAAGTCGACTTTTCCTGTGCAAACCATACAGTACACTACAACCAATGTTAAAAGTACTGTACACTGTATAGTATGAGTCAGTGAGTGACTCACTTCTTTTTCGAATAATTAATTAATTAATTATACAATCACCATAATATCACCTAGCTAAGCCAAAATCTCTGTTGCCTTTTCTTGAATTAAATGACTAGCTTGAACATCTTGATGTTGCCCATCGATCATGGTCATATCCCTTAAAAACTCCCAGCTTTTATAGCTTCGACGACAGATTGTACCGTAGGGTATCCGCAAAATCCATGGTATGCCTTTCGAACATTCAAAAGCCAAATGTGTACAGTATAATTCTACAGTACGACCGTCATGTAATCTTACTGATGCTGCATTCGATGTCATAGATACAGTAGTAATCTTATTACTTTATTGCCTAATTGACATGCAATCATCTACTATACTCCATGATTCAATTATTCTTCATGGATCTAAAACAGCGATTTCCACCAATGCCTAATTGAACAGTATGCAGTAGTAGAGGAGTAATGAATTGCTACCTAAACTGTATATTCTAACCATGACACAACATACAGCGTAGTCACACAAATGCCATCGGTAGTACACAAAACTACTCCGAAGAGTAGAATACGATGCAGTGGCAGAGGAGTATTGCATTGCTACCTAATCTGTATATTCTAACCATGACACAACATACAGCGTAGTCACATAAATGCCATCGGTAGTACACAAAGCTACTCCGAAGGCCTTGCCGACTTCTCTTCATACTCATCATTGGTTACGACATTTATACAATGACTACTTCATCCACAGTCAACCAACCTAGTGTCTTCATCGTTGTCATCATTCTGTTGACAATATTAATACATGCTACTGCTGTTTATTAACTTCAACTGTCCAAGAAATCTTTCATGACACTAGTACTTGGTGCAAAAGGCTGCAACACAGACGCAACTCAAAACGATGCAATCCCAATAAAAGTATGGTACAATAGAACTACCATTGCATTACGATATACAACAAATCAAAAAGTACAAAACCGTTCCCTTTTAAAAGAAAAAAAGGCCAACCACAGACCCTGGGGATCTTACAACATCATAACAGTTTGATTGAAAGCTGTAGATTGTATTATACAATAGCCAATTCAGAACAGTCCTATCGCTCTTTCCTTTAATAAACACAGCCAAAGACCAGTCGTAAGACTAAGCCAAGTCTTCACCATTAGATCACTATACTGTACTGTCTGGTATCATTGAATTCTATTGTAAATTGGTGCTGGTGTTTTGTCAGTTTATTCATTCTATTCACTGTACAGTATATAGTCTGGGAGTCGAACCCTTCCAAATTTTTAAACCACATTTCCCAGTAAGAGATTCAGATTTCATACAAATTCGCTGTTGTAACCAGACTTGCGAACTTTTTGTAGTTTGAATAAATAAAATAAATAGGTAAATAGAATGAATTCATGAATTCATCATTCTTGCCATCCAAATTCATACCAGCAGCAGGTTAATAAGTCATTGACTCAGCACAACGACTTGACCACGACAGTACCCTGTATCAAAGTTGCATCTATACTGTACAAAAGCTTGAATACGGAACAGTTGTTAATATACGTCGACGCCCTTTTCCCTGGGTAACCATTGACGTCAATTCAATCATTCCTATGGATCATGTCAAGATGGAGCCATTTTCACTTCTAATGATTTCTATCGGGTGGTTTTTTCTGTAATTGCCCAAGGTAATTAGGGTCCACCTAATAAAGACTTTTAATGCTCAGTTACAATAAACGAGATTACGGCTGTTGGAAATGAATCATTACACTATACACCAAGCAATGGCATCCAATAATTATATTCAGAAAATAAAATAAAAATGCAAGTATACCAAGTGATTGTAAAGAATTGCATGCATTATAGTACGATCATTTAAAGGAAAACAAATAAAATAATGACAATAATCACTGAAACATCTACAGTAGATGGATAGCAAGCCGATTGGAACACCATGATGAATCCAAATTAGGCTTGAAACATAAAAACTAGATGATCTATATCCGAGTAGAGTAGCGCAGCGAAAGATTGAATGTTACGAGTATAAAATGTTCATCATAGCTGAACTAAGCCCATTTGAAGAACGATTGAAAATGACAATGATGCCAGTGGTCGCCAAGACTGATATACCATGGTATCCCTAGGTTAATCTTTATTCGATTTTACGATGCGTAGCTTGACTACAAAATATTGAATTGCAACTGCCATTAATAGTAATGAAAGTCTGTTATAAAAGTAATATCAAGCTTATGATGATCGGTACCGCGTGATCGCTCTACTGTATTATGCTCGGATTATTATTTGAATAAATAATTATAGTGTTAAAAAGTCAAACTAATATCATTTTACTATGATGATTAGTTCCAGCAGGTCAAAAATTGAATTCATCATGCTTCTTAGATTGATTATTTCATCATTTCAATAATGCGTATAGTAAGAAAATAAATTATGGCAAAGTCATAAAAGATTTGCTCCATGATGGGTAGTATTTAGCATGGATCACTAGAACAGTAGTCCATAATATTTAATAAAGTAATTTCCCCTATACGTGTATGAAAGTGCACTCTTCTGTAGTAGCTTTTTCAATTCTTGAATATTATACTACGCGTACAACTTATCCTTTACTGGTTACTATTAATGATATAAAAGTACTTAATTGAGCGCGAGATAAGCTAGTCATAGATATAACGTAGAGCACTTACCATCTCAATAGGACTATTTCAAGTCAACTAAATACATTGGCTGCAACATTTTATCTCTTTAAATAAAAAATATCAACAACAAACAAAAAATATTCTGCTCCTACACAGCGTATTGTATTTATTTAAAATTACCCATAGTAGAATTAGTGTTTCAAGGACTTATGTCTACATTGATTCAATCATTATATGATTATACAGTAGATCATCATCGGCTACAAGTAATAGTGTAAGCCTTACCTTGACACTAAAAATATCAATTTTACTTATACAGTAGTCCATATCCTCATCACCGTTAGTAGCTTTATATTAATAATTAATATTTAGATAGTTTGTCTAATTTGCAATATGAAGCCGTTACCATTTTCATTAGACAAATAAGTAGCTTAGCTAATGCGATCAATATAATGCGTATTGATAGGTGGTGTAATCATATCAATCTATTTTATAAATTGAATGTTACCATGTAATAATATAATTACTACAGTTAGATAGTTATTAACCAGCATTTCAAGAGGTAAAAGTACAACATGTAGAAAAAATTTAAGCATAACTTCCTCATTAATGGGTATAGAATGGAGTTAAGGTCAAATATCGACCAAAATTATATAGCTATGAATATTAATATTTAGTCATTTATCGAGACGTACTTCCACTATCAAAATAATACCAAAAATCCTATTATACATATATCAATTATTATTATGCAGGCGTTTATTTGCCTCACAATGATGGATCTAATTCAGTATCAAGAATGCAATCATAGTTTAGAATTATGATTTTCTGACAAAACAACTTTGCTGTTTGAACGTCGGTCAATTTTATGATCTTTCTATGCAAATGAATTATCAATTATGGTACATAATTATAATCGCATTGGATATCCATTGCAACAAATCAATAAAGATATCTTCTTCATAGTATTACATCAAATTGATTCAAAATTTACAAAGTTCCATCAAGATTTAATAATTACTATAGACTGTAAATTTAAAACCCTTTATCTACTTCATCATTGTATCATAATCTACATCTTTGACAGTAATCTTAGTATTAATAAGAGATAAAGAATGATTGCTCTATGCCAGAGGAAATTTATTAACTTACAGAGAATATAATATCGTTTTTATATCCAATAATTAGCTTACATTTTCTGATAGAAACTCACCTGTCTATGTTAAAGATTTATCTTCTCAAGTAAATTGAATGTATTCTATCATTTTAAGTCTTTAGTTTAGATTTTCACTTTTGTCTCAAAACCCCATTAAGGCTCCTTTAAATTTTTAACTCAATGAATTCGACTATCGTACTTGCTTTGATCACTTACTATTTTCTTCTCTGGTATTATCTGATTTAAGTGGTTTCACTCGAACAACGGAAGAACGTTTATTCCACCAGCAGAAAATCTTTTTTAATAATATGATATAGCGTCGACGAAAAGATTTCAACATGACAAGATAAATAGCTGGATTGATAGCATTATTTACGTATAACATGGTGACAGAAAAGAAATATAAATCATCCGAAATAGAGATTTGATAATTTGAAAATGGAATAATAATAAAAGTGAGAATACTCCACGTTATGTAACACAGCAAGAAATTAAGCACCAATAGCCATAGTGCTATAGTTAAATGAATTGGTTTCCTTGATGATGTTGTATTACGCCGCTGCAATCCTCCGTTACTAACATGGCGTACCAGGTTATGATCGATACGTCTTAACGTTAAAAATACTTGAAGGTATGATGTTAATGTAATAACTAAGGGCACAATAAAATCGACAATCAACTCAATAATAGCGTTAATACGATTAGCCACACTACTACCCCAACTTGGAAGGCAAGATCTCTCCATTAAACTATATTCGTAAACGCTTAGGCCCAAAAATGGTAACAGACAAATAACCAACGTAATCATCCAAACTATACCAATCGCATATACAGCATGCCTTGTATGTAGTACAATAGCTGGAGATTTACAAACGCTAAAATAACGAAATACAGCCAATGCAGCTAAGGAATAAGCGGAACCAATAAAACATACACCGCTTAGAAAGCCATGAAAATGACATAGAAAATCTCCTAATGCATTACAATTGGCTGCAACATTGACCAACAACAGCGGTAATCTAATCCCGCTCTGAATAGCATCAATAACAGCGTTATTAATTATTAAATAATCTGTCGGTGATTTATGACCAATTTTTGTATAAGTAACCAAGATTACCATGATATTGCCAGTTATACCAAGAAATCCAATTATAGATAAGCAAACTAGCCTAATTGAAACAGTGTCCATATTCATCGTAGTAAAATTGGATGGGCAAGTGCCATTATTGAGGAGTTCGGTCATTTTTTCCCTAATTGCAATGGCTATAAATTATGAACGAAACGATTCTAAATCGATTAATTAATGTATTATATTCAACTAAATAAGCATATATAAAATTCTGTATAGCTTTGAGATTCAATTCTGGTGAAATTTATAGAAAGATTCCATTCATGACCTGATTGAAAATTGAAACCAGACAGGTAGTACCAAGATCACAGAAAAAAATGGATTCAATAATAGTAATATCTTGTCGCCGATGAAACTTTAACTGAGGTATAAGAGAAGTTATTGAAGCTTCAAGACGCTTTAAATATAATCGTTAGTCTTACAAGACTTTACAAGCACACAATGAACCGTAAAATGTTTATCGAAGAAGAGCCCAAAGATAGAAGAGGAACTAGAAATTTGTCCCTAAAATTGAAACATTAGCGATGAAAAATATGCTATTTACTCGTATTATAATCTAGCATCTATTAAAAAAGAATTCGCTTAATCACTTTACCTAAGGTTATGGCCAGCATCCAACGAATGAAAGGAAATGTCGATATCCAAAGAGATAATAATTTAATAACTTTAACGTCTAGGTGCTTCCATTTTTACTATACTAGAGTATATAAAGCCTTTCAACTCGAGTCCTCTAAAACGAATAGCTAAGCTACAAACTTGATCGATTTGGCTACTAATATATTCCTCCTTTTCTAGTAGCAATCGTTGTTGGCGATGTAAAAAAATACCCGTCCTAAATAGCAGCAATTAAGCAAGGGTTCATCAAAATGATTAGAAAAAAAATCAAAGACACCGCTTAATAAACAAGGGTTACGGATGTAAAGTGATGTTGTTTTAAAATTGATGGCGGCTATTGTTCTATTGCAATCAACAAATCAATATTAGCCATACATCATAGCATTAAGCTATTTGAATATATTTCAAATCAATTTATCTAACAACAATTGAAATTATGTCAAGAGATTATCGGAATTATGAAAGAAATTTAATAACATTATGGATGATGATCAGCCAGCCAATGACATTATTACGTGTTGAAGAGAATAGTGCAGCCCACTCTAGAGGTCTGTGTTATCTTGTGAAATGTCCTATACGCACTCTATCATATCATTATCCGAATTGATCATACTTATTAGCTTAACCCGTGAAATAACAATGTACACAGAGAATTAATTACCTTGCCCTACACTATGCTAAAAGTCACATGAAACATTAGAGTTCTGAAGTGTAATTAAAATCCATTGAAAACTCATGATTACAGTACCATTACGAAATTTGTTCCATGCTTTTCAAATTGAATTCACAAACATAGTAACATGTGTATGTTAGCCTTGACTATTATATGCAGAATAGAATAAATTATGTAGTAGAAGAACCGATTTGTTAGGAGTTGTTGGTCGCAAAACCGCTTAGTTACCTCCTGGTAACCTAGGCAATGACAAACCTTTGCCATTCCCTTAAATGGCTGCCAAAGCTTCAACCGAGATTAGCATTTCGAGTATGATGTACATTTCACGTGAATATCACTTGATTTCCATATATTTTTACGATAGGACATTTATAAAAGAATTTCTACATCATAAATAACTGTTGTTAGTAAAATATTTGAAAAATTGCTTTATGGGCGAATAATTATTTATTGCCATAAGGTATAATTATTGATCAAGAGCATTATACCCGAGCTAACTACATGAATTGTATTATGCGTAGAAAGATTTCTTTACTATTAATAATTGTTACTCGTAAGCATTAAGATGAATTTATAGCCGAATAATAACTTAATGCCGTAAGGTATAATAATTTATCAAGAGCATTGTGCTTGACTTGATGACATAAAGAACCACATAGTTTTAAGATGCAGTATAAATAAATTGAGAAAGAATTTCTTTCGTGCAAATTAGCAAAGTATCCATGTTTTTGGACGGCAGTAATAATATCAATAGTGCTACTATAAAGTATTATTATCTAAAACCTAATATTAGTCAAATAGGAATGATAAACTATATTAGAAAATCACTGCCTAAGTATTAAACTGAACTATCTTTCACTGAAGCTTTGCCATATCCTACTCCTTTACAATTAAAAGTCGTACAGAATTATCTTTCACTTAATAGGATGGCACATGAATTAGTGTTTATGTTTATTTCATAATTTGCACTTAAGCTTGACATATTTATACTTTTCTCATCAAGTACGTAAGCATTAGTGCCGCTATTAGTCCATTCATAAGTTTATCTTCGCTCTTAACTTCTATATTAACTAATTCTCCTTTTGTAGTCTACGTACGAGTACTAAAGGACGCCATATTACTTATCTTTTTGATCCATATATGTACGCCATTCAAGAGAAACATTAAGTACACTCTAAATGACAATTATTGCTACCATTGTTCTCAATCAAAATGCTTTGCCGTGTCTAGCTAAATTATAATTGTAATTATGACCTTGAACATTTCTTGCAAATTCTAAGCAGACGCCAGACGACGAATTTAATTCATAATAATAATAGCAGAAGATTAATCCTGATTATTAAGAATGAATCAGACTCTCGCAATTGTTGACAGTTGTCTAAAATACTCTTTAGACATACTGTAAAGTCTATTTGGATTTTTGATAAACAATATTACATAATATAGTAGAAGAGAATCAAGTGGAGAACGTATATTAGTCACGAAAAGGTTCTACGCTAGATAACTTACGTATACCGATTATTCTAAATAATAACCTGACCGGTAAACCAGAATAATTAATCTTAATTAAAACAATCTTTAGCTTTGATTTGATATAGATGCGTTATTCATCTAGCAGTCTGTACGTATGTGAAAGTTAATGAAAGTTCTTAACTTCCAGGATTGTTTATTTATCGATTTCCTGTTCAATTATTAAACTAGCGATATTGTAGTGGGATTTGGCTTATTTATAGGTATTGAAATTACTTTCAGTATTGATAGTAGTCCAAAAACCGACAATAATGGTATCTAGAGTTTATAATTGTTATCATATGTTTTTAGAAATTAATATTGCACAAATTGGTACCCACTCTTTAAGTGCGATAGTATGTTTCTTTTTTTTAGTTTCCAATCTTGTAAGAGTCAGGTCTCAGTCGCTATTGATACGGCTAATGTTCTACAGCAGATAGTAGTATCACTATTCCTGCAGCACGGTGAGTTGCTTGCTCATTTTAATATATTATATTTAATAATTAATAATACAAAATAATTTTAGGACAGGCATGGCTTTGTTATTTACTTAACACTAATACTGCATTTGATCAATAACGAATGCTGAAATCGTTTGAAACTAAATCAGAAAGATGGGAATAAGACTATAACTAAATGACATTTTGACTGATTGATAGTAAGAAAAATAATGAATGAATTACTCTTTCGAAAATCGTAAAAATTAATATCTTCATTTTATTCAAAACGTGCAGTGCAGCTATCACATTCTTAGGTGTATAGCCTTTCTGGCTATACACCTAAAACATATTTACAATCTTTCGAGTAGTTTCAATTTCATTCCAAAAAGCCATACAACGAAATTATTTACGAGTTATACAGCACCATTGTGTCCATTTTTAGGGCATATTAAATGCTATGACATAATATTCAAGTATACAGTTAATATTGCTGACTTAATTTCTTCTCAGAGACCTCGTTCTGCAGATTCTGAGTCAATGCAATCGGTGCATCACCAAACGAATTCCATATTCGATACTGCGATGCCGCAAATTCGGTAACTATAGTCAAATTATTATTAATGTTATAAGAAAAAATATATATTTAAAGTTCTAGATACAATATGTTGGCATGAGTTATAAGTATTCAGAATTTTAAAAAGCTAGATGGAAGAACTACTCTATAGTAGTTAGCAAGTTTTTGATGTGAGCCTAGAAAAGACAACTAAATTACCATAATTTGATTTGTAATGAGCGTTCGGAGACGTATTAACAGAATGAGGATCCAGCTGACAACTGCTAAAAGTAAAACTGTTTATCTTAAAGCGAATCTGAAATATAAATTAATAAAAGCAACCAATTCAGTTCAAGCTTCCTAAAATTCTTTTACAATTTAACTATTCAAATTTTTTGTCAAATTTCAAACTTAATATTATCTTATGCTCGTACATACATACAGTATTATTATTTACCTGTGCATAGGCATTTTTTCCGATACAGAATTCATCATCAACATGCACTTTATCAGTTATTTTATTACCAAACAATACAACAGCGTTCAAAGTAGCTTCTAAATTACGCGGAAATTTTGTACCTAAATGGAATTAACAAAATGATAACCATGTTACCAGTCTTTTTTATCTTTACACTAGTTCAATAACTGGATTTAGCCTAAACGATTCATTCGTTGATATTTCATATTTGCAGGTTTTATCTAAACTATGAAATTGTATGCATCAGTGTATACCAATATTCCAAATTATTCTTTTTTTATCTTGAGCAAGCGCTACAGGACCTACATTAGAAGTCCCCGCAGAGACTTCAATTTTTAAAATGGGACCCCTAAATTAAAAAAAAATATCATATTTCCACTAAGTAGTATGACAACTGTGATCTAGCTAGTCTAGTGCACTTTATCTTGAAAGCACTTTTGCTTAGCAATAAACAACCTGTTAAATATTGGAATGTAAACTTCGCAATATTCAAACGAATTGGTAACACTCCCATCAAGTTGAAGGTTAAGGGACACTTTTACAACTTGGTCTCCCTAAAAATCAATATAAGTGATATTTCTCTAAATGGCTTCACATTTAATTTTACTATTCATAAAATGAGAGGGTAAAACTAGGAGCTGAAAAACTATTTAAATTACCTACTTATACAGGAAGTTAGAGGGATTTATCTTACAATTAATTATTAGGCGAATATCAAAATTTTTTCTACCTTCATTTCATAAATTCCTTTGATTGGTAGTGAAGGCATTGGTGATATATAGTTGCATAGATTGAATAGCTCTGTTGGCGGCGAGAAGCGAATTTTTCGCCGTAGAAAGCTACCTTTTGTGCTTTCATCAGACTCGTCCACGTAGACACAAGGATGCATCTGAACCCCAATTAAAGCAGGGCTTTTAGGCGAAACAAAGAGAGTAGCGGTGATATCTGGTTTTCCTTCGAAATCCACCTTTAGTTTTATATACACTGGTTTAGTTCATAATTAAGTCAATAAACAAGATATGATAATTCTTGACCTTACCTTACACATGACAGATCCGTATAAGTCCCATACATCTGAAATTCCTGCTCTATTATACTGATTATTAAGAATTTAATTTTAAGTGATCACGAAATTAATCTTTAAAATCTAACTTATAGAGTATAATCAGAAAAGATAACTCGAGGTTAATAGTAAATTAATGTATTTATCAAGTACAAAGCAGTATTATCGTACTATGGAGGCACGGATTTCTTCTTTTATTGCTATGCTTATTTGATTTCTTGTTTTCGGGACTACTATAGAAGGTTTCCAAGCTGGTTGCTAAGTATTGGATCATAACAGTAATAAATTTCAGTACACCCGTAAGTCTTTCGGATAGTTAACATAAATTGCAAATACTATAGGTCAATGTCTTACTCGTAAAGTATTTTTAGGTATAGATATAACCATTAGATATGCAGGGTATAATTTTACCTCGGCTAATTTTACATCTTACCTTTTTTTGAGGATTGATTGAGGTTGTAAACTTAGCTTGAAGCTTAGCTGTTGAAGGATTTAAATCCACAGGAGTACCAAAAGGAACACCAGCTGTCAGGAATTCATTTATTTCCGTAAGTTTCGAATGAGTCTATAATTATATCATACGACAAATAAATCACGTTACACATGCTAATAGCGATAGCATTGAATCTGTGTTAATCGAGAATATTTAAAAATTTTTGAATGAAAAGTAATTCTATAAGGCTACCGGTGTAAGTGACGAAGCAGCAGGTGCTACAATGTTGGCTAAACTATCAAGAAGTGATAAGCCGATAGATACTCCAGGACTGAAACAGAGAAGGTTACATATAGCAATGTTAACAAACAACCCTTACAATTAATTGATTGACATTGAATTAACTAACTGTTGTTATTGATGATTCCGCTATCTTTATCTATTATATGAACGTAAATACATACATTGAGATTATGGGCGGCCTGCTGTTTGATGAATCATTTACCAGCGGCAAGCAAGCAAATACCAAACCATGCTAAAATTTTGTAATTGCAAACTTATATTCGTGTTCGTAGTATAAAGTTATAATCGATTCATACAATAGTGATGAGAAATGTAAATTAACAGTTCATTTTTCTGAAAGTTATTACGTGGAACTGTAATGATAGCCATAGCTTATAACTGCAGATAGGTAATAAAGAATCAATTGGCTATCATATGCACGGTAATAGATATAAATTGTGCTGCGAGTCTCTAACGTCAAGTATTATATGTAACGTGAAATGGGATCGCTACTCATTTAGATAGATTTTTAGTATTTGGTGGTGCCTAAAGATATGAGATGTGATGCACAAGCGTGGATTATAATATACAATGTCATTAATGATGCTTATGATAGCTACCTTTTCATAAATAACCATAGGCCAAATTTTTCCGTCAATTTCGTACACAGGTTTTTGGCTTACTTTGTTACAGCTATCACGACTTTCGCTGTACTACAAATAATTAAAGTTTAACGAATAAAGTATCAGAAACTCGCATAAATTCGATGACCATATCCTCTTATCTTTAACCAGAATAAAATCTGAAAGCGTTAGCAAGCTTAACAATTCAAAATTCTTTGTCGGTGAGCAGTCAGGTTGAATAGATATAAAGCAAGACAAGAGTGCAGACTACTACCATTCTATTGGCGTATAAGAGCTAGTTTATTATAATTTTATAAAGTAAAGTATATTTTAGTGTACATCAATAGCATTGGCACTACAGTAAAGAAAAAGCTGGTAGCATCTATGACAGCAGCAATTTTCTTCTGCATACTGTTATCCTTGACGGTGAGTTATCGTATAATTAGCTTTGGAGTAGTAAAAGTGGAAGGCATCCATTATCCACAGTATTCGTGCTTAGTTTATCTGATTTGTGAATACTGAAGGGTATTACATATATAATATTGAAAATTCAAAATCTTTATTTCGGGGGTTAATGTATAAAATACAGTAAGAATAATATCTAACTGAGTAAAATTTCAAGCCTCTCAAAGTAATTCGTTCCATACTGTACAAATATTCACTCCTTACCACATTGAGGTCTGCACCAATTCCTATTTCCTGCGCTATAGCAGCGCAAATCTCTCCATCATCAGGTAATGGCTGATACTTTCTACTATTGTTTTGACTACACCAGAGGCGTTCTTTCTTCTCAACTACTGGAAAGCGTCTAAAATAAATGTATAGGCACTATTTCAGTATAATTATTTTTAATATTGCACTAATTCCTAATGCCACAATATTCTACTGCATATCAAGCTCTGCAACCAATTATTTACTGCATAATTGATTCGCCAAATACGTATGCGTCTACAAAGTAACCGTCGAGGCAAGCACAAACATTCAATAACATAATATGTACTTTTAGGCCTGTAAAAGCTTGCTCTATTTATACCATAGACACTTCTATCCCACATGGAAACTTGCATCTTGGATATTTACTCTACGTTGTATACAGTGTACATCCCAATCGATCATGTTGTGTAATATTGCGTATGTTACGTCATACTGTATACAAGATGCAAAGATTTTGCAGAATGAAACCTATATTTTTTCTACTTATCAACTATATCAACAAAGAGTAATAAATTCATCTGATATAGAGTAGATAAAGTTATAAGCTGATATCCAGCGACTATGTAGTAGATTTAATCAATTCTAATTTATATTTAAATTAACATCTAGACTGTAACAGGAAGTGGTATCAACCATAAATGTTTTACTCGTATATCTCTATGGTAACTACTCATTCCTATTAGGATAATGGATTGTAAGTCACGATTCATCCCTGGCTATTGCCTAACACATACAACTCGTTAATACGTAGATCATACTTTGAATAGATTAAGAATTTGGCATCCATCTCTTTAGGAGAAAGGATCCATAAAGCACGAATGCTCATCTTGATTTGCTGACGATTCAAAATCGACCCAATACGTAATGACAATTGATCTGTTATAGCCAGTTGACATACGACGTATCTGTAAACTGCATCATTTCAATCGATCTGTAGATAATGGCATATCAATAAATGACTGCATCTTGCAAGCATTTCTACCTATCACAATACCCATGCTTACTGTTAAAGTCCGCCTTGAGGTGTTGATCATTTCAAGAGTGATTTCAAATATCAAAATTGTCAGCATGCAAGCCAAGAGCCGACACAACAAGTCTGAATGTTTATCAATTGCAGGGGTTAAAGTCTATGACGAAAACTACACATTAGCGTTATACTTTACATATAGTAATTTAGTGCCGACTGCAACAATCTACTGTACACTTGTACAGTCTCCTGGACTACAGTACTCGCTGTCGAAGTACTGTACACTGTACTGTACAGTACTGTACACTGTACTGTATCAGAAGTCCCTGACTGCACGGTACAGTACAGAAGTACAGACGGATAGCACAGTACAGTAGAAACCCTCTAGTGTACTGTATAGTATCGATGGTCCATGCAGTCCAACTCCTACTGGACTAAATCATGCAGTTACAGTTTCGAACCTTCCTGGCTTGCAAAAGCTCACGCCTTTAACGCGGTGATCATTTCTAGCTATTGCCATACTTACTTGAAGGCTATCAAAATGTTGAGCAGGATCGCAACGACGGCAATGATTACCTCTCGATTGGTATACAAGCTGAGTAGCAGCTGCAACGCCGGTTTATCCAAGGTAATAATAGAGTTTCAGGAAGAAATGTGTTTTACTCCAGTATAAATTGTCCAATCATGTACTATTAAGTGAACACTGGTAAAAAGCACGTAGCCACATGAAGGATTGAATGATACTAGATAGCATACTGCACTAGGTCTTTCCATGTTTTAAACTGAATCAACCTTCAACGAATTAGCTTACAACAAGAACGGTAGATTGAGGAGCTGTTTATATACTGTATCGAAGGCATGCTAGTTAAAACTACTAGAAATGCACTGTCTCTTCTGGTCATCCGTCATACTAGAGTAATACTGTACAGTCAGATTGTTTTCGTTGATCCTATTTCACTGCCTGTTATGATATACGGTCGATTTAACCAACTATACATCCTTTCAAGCTACTACAGATTTGCTAATTCAAATGGAATGCTGTATCTAGGTGAAACAGTAAAATAGCTGATAGTAACTAAAAATTTTAGCCCATGATTGTAATTATTTGTGGAAATGGAATCCCACTTGATTTACATTGATGACCTAACTACGGTATACGTGGACAGTATTGAGATACCTTAGTTAGTTCAAGAAAAAAATCATATGTTTGTACTCCATGTCATTCTGAATGGCAAATTTTCAAATTCCATTTAGCCAAGTCAAGTAGCTTAGCAAATCAAAACATGTCGTAAGATACTGTATTTATGTAGTGAATTGTGTATGCAATAGCCATTAATCTGTTCATTCGATCGATATCACATGCATTAATTAAAATCATTGACTGTAACTAGTAGCCTAGCTAAGGCCCGCCTAAGGGTACACTACGTATCTTGTGCATTCTTGAAGGTACTGATGAAAACGTTCTTACCGTATTACAAAATCTTATAGGTCAAGGTACCACTATTTACTTCTTCCCGTCCGTTAACTTGTTCTACTAGCAAAACTATTACAATTCAAAACGATAAGATAGATCAAAAGAGCTGTTGTAACCAACTTTTAAAAGAACATAGTATCCCTAGCGGATTATCATCTACAAAGTTCTTGCAAACTACCTGGAATCGAGTAAGTCTTACTATCTGCTATTAAACTCATCATCTCTTCAAATTCGAACTTATCCAGAAAGTGCTCACTATTGCTATTCTACTCAACTAGGTATTTATGCGTTCAATATTCACACAAACGGCAACAGTCTTATGCAGTCCGACAATAAATCAAGTTAGTAGAATGAAGAAGCACATGCGAAAGAAGCCAAAGAAGCCGAAGAGAACTTTAGGTCAACCGCATATGAAAGGCGTTGTATTAAGTACTTTCACTCGCAAACCAAAGAAACCAAACTCAGCTCAACGCAAATGTGTAGCAGTACGAGTTAAAAATGGTAAGCGTGTTATTGCTTATGTACCTTATGGAGGGCACTCGCTTCAGGAACATAGCGTTGTGTTAATACAAGGAGGGAGAGTGCAAGACTTGCCTGGCGTTCGATATACTTGCGTTCGAGGAGTATACGATTTAACGTGGAATAAATAGCTCAAGTTTTGCATTACATGAGCATAGATAACAGCAAATTGTCGTGAGTGCATTATAACATCTTCAATTAGCAATTATCGCTTTAATCCAACGAATTGAAACATTCTATTCTGTTTGTTTGATAAGACTTTCTCAGAAAACTATTACGTTCACAATTGTCTTAAATTAGATGTATATATGTAAGATATATTATCAGAAATTCCAAAATTGAAACGAAGCCTCACGTTAGGTCCGTTACAACGTCAACTGTAGTACTTTAATTGTAAAACTTTCAACCTGGCTTCAAGATTAAGGTGTTTGCTGTGGCTATTACTGATGATACTCAGCGATTGTATACTGACACTACTGGAATACTACTCATTTCTGAGGTATTATTTCAGGATGTGCAAAATCTATATATTTAACTTTAAACAACATCGGCTTTAAAGAATGTAAACACTGTAATTTAAAAAAAATTTTGCAGAAATAAACACTTTTCGCTTTTAATGCCTGATATATAGAGTATTTTAGTGTTGTACTATCTTGTTTTACGGATGGGAGGACCATAGCGATATGGAATAAAGGAAAATAGTTAAACGCTTAGAGTTTTACAACTTAATAATTCTCTTCAATCATTAATATACAGTACACACTATACTATACAGTCAATGAGGATCATTACAACAAGCTAACAGATTTTCTTGTAGGGATCCAGAGCTACAATAAAAAGCGTAAAATGAGAGTATTCGAAGAGTTAAGCTGTTGACAATGTATGATTAGCGTATTAAGCATTAGAATAAACATAACGTGAAAAGTAATTAACATTTTGAATAAAACTGATCTGTATCGTATAAGGTACTCAAACAACCAGAAATAAACTATACAAAACAAGATAACGATAGACTACGTGGAATATTAGAACGATAAACTATACAAAACAAGATAATGGTAGACTACGTGGAAATGAGAAAATGGCAAATTGTCCGCGTCAAATTGTACTAGACCCTGAAAAAAAATACAGAACAATCCTGGATTACTAGAAAATACTACTTACTTTTCCTCTTTCTAGTAGTCCTTAAAATAAACACAGCATATTGATAAACCAGATGGAGAACGGTCTAGGACAACTTGACGCGGCTGTACAAGGTAGTAGTATAGGATGGAAACAATATCTTAGTGAAACATAAAACGATAACCTATGTGGAATATAAAGACGATAAACTACTGTTTGTAGAACATTGAAACCATACTATAAACTAATATAAACATGATAAACTATGTGGAACATTGAAACTATATTGTAAACTAAAGAATGCGAATGTAACGGTGTAATATTAAATTGTCTCTAGTTGTGTGGAACATTGTGGAACATGGTGTCAGTTCCTCCTATGTTAGTGCAATATATGCTATTGATTATCTATTGGTGGGAATCGGAAAGATATAACGGTGTTAATAGGTCTCTTGGCGAGAAGTGCAGTTGGAAGTCCTAAAAGATTGACTATTGGTCGAGGAGCTGAGGAACAAGGTTCGAGGCGATATAAACAAGACGCGGATCATGTTAAAGTGCTCTTATACTGTAGCCTTTACGATATACTATTTTGTATAGGGAAAATTGTGATAGAGTTTTGATGTAAATATTTACACCAAAGATAGATGTATAAGGAGGCTAATATAGTTGTAGAGCTAAATTCATAGGTTAGCTCGGAGAAGTCATAGTGGATATTCTTTTGATATTATATCTGTAGCTTTTAATGCCTGTATTTTAACATCGTAATAAAACTTTTTTATATAAACGGAGTCTTACTCATTCTTGTGAGTTGATTCTAGTTAATATAGGGAAGTCGTATTACAGCGGAATATAAAACCATCAACTATGTAAAACACAAAGACGATAACCTATCTAGAACATTAATACGATAAGCTATGTGGAGCATAAAGAAAATAAATTACGTGGAACATAAATACCATAAACTATGCGAAACATTAAAACTATACTGTAAACTAAAGAGTGCGGAATAAAAAACCCATAACCTATGTGGAACATTAAAACTATACTGTAAACTAAAGAATGCGGAATATAAAACCATCAAGTAATTGGAACATAAAAAAAAACATTCTATGTGAAACATAAATACGATAAAATCTGTAGAACATTCAAACTATAAACTATTTGGAACATGAATACTGCAAACTGTATGGAATATTAAAACTATAAACTATGTGAAACATAGTAACGATAAGCTATATGCGACGAATCAAGACAAACTATGTGGAACATCATTACCAAGAAATAGTATGAAAATGTCCAAGTTTTGTCTAATTGAGCTATGTGGAACATTCAAACTACACTGTAAATTAATGTACAGTATACGGAGTATGAAAAATAAACTACAGTATGTGATACATAAAAAATTAACCAATGTAGAAAATGAACACGATAAACTATGTGGAACATTAAAACTATACTATAAACTAAAGAGTGCGAAATATAAACCGTAAACTATGTGGAACATGGAAACAATAAAATACGTTAAAAATAAAAACTATAAGCTATGTGGAACATATATACTATAAACTATGTGGAACATTGAAACTATAATGTAAACCAAAGAATGCGAAGTATAAAACCATCAACTAGTTAGAACATAAAAACGATAACCTACAATAACTGGAACATAGTTACGATAACCTATGTGGAATATTGTAACTATGAACTATGCGGAACAAAAATACTGTAAACTATATGGAATATGAAAACTATAAACTATGTGGAACATCGTAACTATGAGCTATGTGGAACATAAATACTGTAAACTATATGGAAGTAGTATTACAGTGGAACATTGAAACTACACCGTAAAGTAATGTATATCGAATATAAAAAAACGATAACCTGTATAGACAATAAACACGATAAACTATGTTATGAAATTAGAACTATACTGTAAACTAAAGAGTGCGAAATATAAACCCTAAACTATGGGGAACATTTAGACTAAAAGCTATGTGGAACATTATAACTATACCGTAAACTAAACAATGCGTAATATAAAACCAACAACTAATTAGAACATAAAAAACGATAACCTAAAGTAAGTTCCACATAGTTACGATAAACTATGTGGAACATTGAAACTATGAGCTATGTGGAACATAGATACTGTAAAGTATGTGGAACATCGTTACTGTAAACTATACGGAATATAAAAACTATAAACTATGTGGAACATAAATACTGTGAACTATATGGAATAAGTTAACCATAAACTATGTGGAACATAAATACTTTAAACTATATGAAATAAGTTAACTATAAACTATGTGGAACATCGTTAATGTAGACTATACGGAATATAAAAATTATAAACTATGTGGAACATAAATAATGTAAACTACATGGAATAGGTTAACTATAAACTATGTGGAACATCGTTACTAACAAACGATATGAAATAGATTAACTATAAACTATGTGGAACATCGTTACTAACAAACGATATGGAATAGATTAACTTTAAACTATGTGGAACATCATTACTTAGATTAACTATAAACTATGTGGAACATCGTTGCTTAGATTAACTATAAACTATGTGGAACATCGTTACTAACAAACGATATGGAATAGATTAACTATAAACTATGTGGAACATTGTTACTTAGATTAACTATAAACTATGTGGAACATCGTTACTTAGATTAACTATAAACTATGTGGAACATCGTTACTTAGATTAACTATAAACCAAGTGGAACATCGTTACTAACAAACGATATGGAATGGATTAACTATAAACTATGTGGAACATTGTTACTTAGAAACGTTATGAAAATGTCTAAAGTTTATAGTCTATGTGGAACATTCTACACTTGCAAAAAGAAACAAATCGCGAGAACAAGGGCTTAATCTCAGTGGATCGTAGTAACAAGACTACTCTACCACTTACAATACCCCGTTCTATATTTAAGTCGTCTGCAAAGGATTTATTTCTAGCAACGTCAAAATTTAAAATTGTTGGCATCCGAGGTTTATCTCCTCTTCCGCACAATGGGACGCAGGAGCCGAAGCTCTATCCTTATTCATCTTCAGTCGCTAGAAGTAAAAATCGTCGTACCTAGCACGGATTCTGACTTAGAGGCGTTCAGTCATAATCCGACAGATGGTAGCCTCGCACCATTGGCTTTTCAACCAAGTGCAAATACCAATTGTCTGAATCTGCGGTTCCTCTCGTACTGAGCAGAATTACTATCACGACGACATTCATCAGTAGGGTAAAACTAACCTGTCTCACGACGGTCTAAACCCAGCTCACGTTCCCTATTAGTGGGTGAACAATCCAACGCTTGGTGAATTCTGCTTCACAATGATAGGAAGAGCCGACATCGAAGGATCAAAAAGCAACGTCGCTATGAACGCTTGGCTGCCACAAGCCAGTTATCCCTGTGGTAATTTTTCTGACACCTCTAGCTTAATACTCATAAAAACTAAAGGAT